GTCGTCGAAAACGTTGGAGAGCGAAACTCGTCGAGAGGATAACCCTTCGATACACGGTATTTACAGTTCACCCTGATAGACAGAACGATGTTCCCTTTGTTTGGCCCCATCTGCGAGTAGCGGAGTGTTTCTCGAGTGTTGAACTCGGAACGACGCGACGATGTCCTCGATGCTAAATTATTTCTGGAGAGTCGCGATCTACGAGAACTCGGCCCGGACAAAAGGACTTCCTCTTTCCAAAAACTTCGATGGGCGAAACTTTCGAGCGCGATCGAAGCGCGAACACGAGCAAAGGCAAACTACGAGGATGAATCGTGTCTTAAACGTTGAAACATTATTTATTCGTTAAACGAAGCGTCATAACGCGACGGTAAATAATCTTACTGCCGTACCTTTACTTCTCTTTTCGAGTACCTAGTGCTGCAATAGTTTCAATTTCAATGTTGTTTATCCGCGATTTAAACCTTCCGCTTTCTCGAGCTGTTTTCAAATATTTCGAGTACGATCCGTCTTTTATCGTTTAAACGGTGTTGTATGCAATTTAATTAGTCTTGAAAAATTTTCACCGAGTATTCTGTGATAAAAAATTGAGAACAAGGAGGGTGGTTGTTCGAAGAAGCAACGAGGAGATAGGAGAGTTCCAAGAAAGCGGAAGATCAAGAGAAGAAACCGAGAAACAAGAGTTGGGACGGTGTCCAAAATAAACGAAAGGGAAATGTAATTAAAAACTTGCAGCCAGCCAAGCAGGGGTAGGAAGTCTGAAAATAGGAAAAGGAAGGTTTCTTAAAATTCCTTGAGGGAATCCAGGAGGGAAGGAAACGTAAAGATTAAAGAGAACTCCAAGTACATAGAAAACGGTACCCTCGAGGAACCTCTTCCTCCTCGTAGTCGAAAGATTCTAATGATCTAAAATATGCAAAGAGAATACAAACTGTCGACGAAAAATGCTTCGTATTTAATATTCGAAACGATACGCTTTGAAATCTTCCGTTTTTCTCTTAAAACGGTAATGGAATAATTAGAGAAGAAAACGTCAGAGAGATCCTGTATCAATGAACGCGGCCATTTCCACTCGAATCAAAGGTAATTTGCAATTCATAGCAGACAGTTGGCAGACAAAGGGGCTCCGACAGAGAGAAAGAGAGAGGGAGAGAGAGAGAATGGAGGAAGACGCGGTTTTATGGAAACACGCGACAGCTTCCGGGGCCATCCTTTCGACCGGAAACGATCCCTCTTCGTCGTTAATCCGTCGATTAGTCACCGTTCATGGAAACAAAGGGACCATTCGGTTACACGACGTCCGTCGACAAATTATTGTTCGACGAACTGATCCGTCCTTTATCGAACACCAACATTTGTTTCGTTTCGAATTATTCCAACTTGCCTCGAAATTCGGGATAGCCACAATGTCTTTCCGATTTTTTGAACGGTGGGTATCAAATTCATAAGCCGTCGCAACGCTTTCCGTGGAATACAGGGGTTGATCGTTCTGCAAGGGTCGTACACCACAAGGAAAATATTTACTGGAATAACATCGTACCAAAATACCGTAGGTACTAGAACATTTTCAGTGTAAACATCATTTCACGGTTGCTTAACACCGCGTCTCAACATCGTTTGCATCATTAATGGTTAAATAACCATCATCTTTAAAGCGCGTTCGCAATTTACGCAATTTTCGAACGTCAACAATCGACTTGAAACGTTGGTATTACTTTATGAAACGCTGAAGTTTATCCGGTTACGCGATCCTTTCGCATATGAGATTGCTAATAATGTTTACGTCGAAAGGAATTAACGAAATATTACGTTGCTCGACTAAATATCCTTTTGCCGCGTTTTCGAAATACGCAACTTCGTTCGACGGTCGAACGTCGAAAATATTCCGGTACTCGAGGGAGTTTGATCGATCACGCGGTATCTCCTTCTGCATTTACGATCAAATGTCAGGATGATTTGTCCGACACGGCCTGATTAGGAGGATCGATACGCGGACACGGAATCCCACACCCTTGACATCAGCCAAAGGGCTCTCGTATTAATCCTCTGTGAAGGATTATAGATTCAATCGATGTTGACACGTAGCTGGGATCGATAACGGGATACGAGAACCTGTTCCCGTCCAATCGTAAGGTCGCGTTGGAATCTTAATCGTGAGAGAAGGACAGCTTTCCTCGATGAACCGTTTCAATTTTAATCAGGGACCTCCCAGTTGCAACCGTTGCGTTGGACCAAACTTTCGCGAGACCTCTAAATATTCATTTTCGAGATTCGCTTTAATTTCTGCTCGTGCAGTTTCCTCTGATAACGGTGAGCTTCAAAATTATCTCCTAATTGATTCGCAGCAGTTAATTGGTAAATAATTTCTTCGCCGTAATCGATAATGCGGCATTAAAATTGCGTGTAATCGTTCGGGAGCGACTCAATGCTGTTCCTATTCGTAACAGAGTTCCGTCTTGTTCCGCGCTCGAACGCTGGAGCGTATTTTTACGACGGCGATTACCGTCGCGCCAATTAAAGCGTTAAAGATTTAACTCCATTACTTTCAATGGACGAACAAAGCGCGTACGAGCGCAAGAATAATATTATCTATAGAAACAAATATCCGACCCATTGAAACTCAAATGATCCCAAGTATCGTTTCATCCGCCAAGCCTACCCTCGATGAATATTCTCCATTGAAACTCTTCCAATGAACGGCACGAACCTCTCCATCTATCCATAAAGGGAGCAAAAGCAAATTCTGTTAAATGAAAAAAAAGAGGAAGAGGGTAATCCTGTTCAATGAACAATCTCTACAAAGTATTCGCAGCGTATCAATCGGAATTCAACCGATCTTCTTTCAGTCGCAGCCTCATTGAACAGAATTTCGCGCACGATCGATCGATCGATCGGTGTGTTTTTCGTCGGCGGATCGATGGAGTTAATCGAGATAAAAACATCGGATCGAGAGTCGAGTTTAAAAGTTCGTTTAATTTCGCGGCCTATTTTTCGCGTTCGCCAGCCGTGTATTAATCGGTTCTCCAGCCACGTTCGGGATACCTTTTTCATGAGGGTGCAGCTGGCAGATTGCTTGCTCTACGATCGTTCGAAAGGGATGGCTGAGGAAGAAGGTGCGGGGTCCTGGCGGGATTACGGGGATGAAGTATCGGAAAACCACGGCCACGATGCGCGTCGACCAATATTCGGCCCGATAAGTCTTTTACGGCTCTTGTCCGTGGCTTCGTTACTTCCCGGCTTTCCCGGTTATTGTTATACAGGGTGTTGCTGAATTACAGTCTGCTAAATTTAGTCGGAACAAACGGTCTCGTTATCGCTTTAGTTACGAGAAATACTCTAAATGCTTCAAATAGGGTCTACTTGGACACAAGTTCGTATTGGGGGGTTCAGAAAGAAACAGTGTCCAAAGTACCTGTTATATTTTTAATTTTATTTCTTTCGTCTTGAAATGTTGAATTTATGAAACGTTGATAAACTGACAAATTCATTGTAGATCGAAGATTAATCGAAATGTTATCATTACCGTCGGTGGCGGTATAATTTAGGGAGACTTTAAATCAACATCGGAGTAAATAATTAATATATCGCATGACCTCTTTATCTACTCATAGCTGTGTTTATTGGATGAAATTCGTAGTAGCAGTTACAGGCGTTAACGCAATATGTTAAATTATCTGTCCACTTCGTGTAACAAATCGTGTTTTGGTTTCGGTTTCCGAATAAATATGCGTTATTTGCCCAAAGTGCAACGATTTATTGCAATCGTCAACTCGTGTATAAACTCGTATACGTACTCGACGATTAACGAAAACAATCGTTTTCACGAGGAATTATTTGACACGAGTAATAAATCACTATTTATTCAGACGAATATGTTTGTAATTCCATTTATCTTTGAATATTGCTCCGTTCAGAAAATGTTCCAAGTTCAACAACCGTTAGTTAATGAAAACAAAATTACCCCGCATTCGAAATATTCGCGAAGCGAGTGATGTATCTCTTTTCGGAACAATACAAATTTCGAACTGATATCGTCTATCGCGAAAAGAACTACTACGTTTATTGTTGTTGGTACGGTGATTAATTTCGCGTTCATTATCGCGCATAAAATTTAAAACGTCGGAACAGACGCGAAAAGGAGGAGTTGAATTTTCTCATCGGCTGACGGGGAAATTATTGTTCGACGCAACACGATCTGCCCGTTATCTCGTTTCGCTCGCTCGTTAGCGTGTGATTAAAATGTTTAATTGATGCAGTCTCTCCTATCGAGAGTCGTCATTAGCCAGGCTCAGGCAATTACAACCTTTGGTACCTTTGTCATCCTGCTGGTGCCTCCATTACGTTGCAATTACCAATTTTACCGTCCCCTCTCCGTCCTGGCATTCGATAAAGGCTCTGTTGTTACAACATTTTCCACCGTCGCAACATTTTTTGAAAAAAAAAGTGGACTTCTCTCTTAAATTCGAATTCGATCGAACGAATACCGATAATCGTTAATTCGAGCATTAAGAATCTTTAGCGAATTACAAGACGTATACGGTTGCCTCGACAGAGTGCAGGTTGCCTCTTCGCGGATTAAACGTAATGGAAACGAATGGCTGGAAGGCAACGAGGGCTCGTTCGTTGATTTACAAATTTCACGGGCGGAATTTTCTGGAAAATCGTGCGAGCGGCTCGACAAACGTACCCTCCAAGCGTAATTACGTTAAATAAACACATCGTTAACTACACGCCTCGCGATTGAGCCATTTAAACGACTGCGAGTGACAAAATTCGTTTTCAAAATCCTCCGCTTCCAAACGCGCGTTATCTTTCAGACGTACGGAACGCGAAAAATCTTGTAATATTCAACATAATCGCGTCGACGTAATTTACGAAACGAGTCGCGAACAAAGCGAGAAGAAAGTTCGAACGCGAGTTGAAAAAACGGAGATAACAGTTACGAAAGCAAAAGCAATCTCGATCCAATGAACTAACCCGTATCTCGTTTTTGCTTACAGTTACCGGAAGCCATGAACCGGAACCATCGCTACTCGCCGCCCCGGTAAGCATTATGAAATTTTAATAGTTGTTGTTCTCCGACTAAACGAGCTCGCACTTATTTATATCTCCCCAAACGGATTTCAACGATGGAAGCTTGTACGCGTGCACAAAACGCGCGCGCGATGTATCGTAAACCCGATCAACGTTGCACTTTTATACTCTCGACTCGAAAACAAACGCGGAAAGTAATTGGTAGGAATCTCGACTTCGTTAATTGGCGCATTCTTCGGATATTACTTACTTAATTAAAGCTTCGACTGGATCCGAAACGAACGCATTCTTGAGATATCCCGGAATACAGAAGTATTCCGCCTTAGTCGGTCGTTGGCTCCGAAACAAGAAGTCTACCGAGACTCCTGGATTCTTGCCGATGGACAGAAATTATACGCGGGTAGAAGCTAGGACTTAGGGAGAGCTAGACGAGGCTTAAGACCCAGAAGAAGCTTAACAATTAGGGGATCCGAGGGAGCGTGTGGACTGCGAAGGACTTAGAGGGAACCTAGGGTCTGAAGGGAGACTCGGAAGGGCTAAACGAGCTCCTAGAGAGAATCCGGGGAAAGCTTAACCTTTACGCTTCAACCGAGGAAACCGTGGCTAGAAAAATTTCGAGCAAGAAAGGCTATCGAAATATCCTTATGAAAGTTCGCGGACGACACGAGACTCGAAACGATAAGCCGTTGTTCCGTCGAAATAGCAATAAAACTGTAGATTCTTGTCATAAATCAGTGTCCACTTGGCAGCTTCGCAGCTATCGAGTAACCAGTATTTATTGCGCCATCGCTCAACGTATCCACCCTTGGAAAATAATACAGAAGCTCGTAGTTTCGGACAACACTGATTTAGACGTATCTTGAAAGCGGCGTATAGAAACGTCGAGGCAGCTGGCAAATAAATCCGTCGTCTGTCAGAACGCTTTTAATTCGTTTGTTCGCAGGCGAGCAGCGGCTGGGTGACAAACATAACCGGGTCGAGCGGCGTCGTTGGCCAGGACGAGGTCGTACCGGAACACGTCCCTGGATCGCGAGGCGAGCGAGAACGGGTCGAGCGGACCGATAACGAGTCGCAGGTGGAGCAGGAACAGGAGGTGGAGGAGCAGGAGGATTACGAGGGCGAGGACGAATACGAGGACGAGTTGAAGGCCGTCGTCGAGTCGCACGAGGCGATGTCGAGAGACGACACTAGGAACTCGAACGCGTTCCCGGTAACGTCCAGCAAGCTCGCCGACGAAACCTCTACCGGTCCCGCGAACAACTTCGAATCGCACGAGGTGATCACCGCCGACAATTCCGACGAGGATGTCGCGTCCAACGAGGCCATCACCGACGAGTTTGTCGACAAATACGACCAAGAGGTTGGTGCATCCTCTTTACTCCGTCAATTATCGACTTTCACACGCTTCGGTGCCCGTCGTTTCTTCCCGATACAGCCCGACAACTTTCTTTTCCTCTTTCCACCTACCTACCTCCAGACGCGCGTGCGACTTTTTCCGCTGGTCATCTTCGTGCGACCTGTCTCTGACCGAGAATGTCGTCGCGTGCATCCAAAAGTGAACCGTGCGCGTGTTATATCGAGACGATTATTCGATAGATCTCTAAATCTGTCGGTAACTTTGGTATCGGTGCGAAACGGAAGCGCGTTCGTTACAGGGAAATTTGGTCGAAATAAGTCGGCGAAGAAATCGGAGGAAGCTTTATAGGTGGTCGCTGAAATAGATTCAGAGAAGCTCGCGATGGTAGTTGCAGGATATCTAATCCGTTGGATTGCAGTAGATTGGAATATCTGGCGATCAGACAGCTTTCATTTCAGCTACGGAATGGAGTTTCGATTGATCGATGTGGCGTACTCGTTGGTAACAGTTCCGTGCCCGTTGCACCCTATGACCTGGTTTCTCTCGCAGAAACGACGAGTCCAGCCTTGACCACTGTTTCGTCGGAAAAGTTTGCCGGGCGAACCCTGACCCGACCACGGCCCAACCCTGACCTACCCCTCCTCGCCAATCTTTTACTTTGTTTCCGTGCACTGTTTACGATTCGATTGGCCGTACGCCAGGATAACGTTGATTCTGATGTTTCTGATCGAACGACACGTTTGTTTATCCGCGTTACATGGGATTCCAACTGTACAGGAAGTTTAATCTACGTTCGCGTACAATGGGATCTGATTCGAGAAAGTCGAATCACGTAGAGGCAAAGTTTGCGAGAACGCAACGGATACTTTTGCAGCCAGTCACATTCGTGTCGCAGATTATAATCCAGATTACGGGGAAGTAAGTCGTATTCGAGGAATAGTCCAAGTTTAATTGAAATTCCAGATGGGCTTTGAGAAAATTGGAAATCGAGAGCTGCGAACGGGAAGGCTTTGCGTTTGATCTCCGAGCGTCTTGTTTCCCGCGAATTTCTCGGAAAAAATAGTCGAAGCGTTATCAAAGTACAACGCTCCTTTGTACGACGGACACTCGCTACTTAACTCGCAGCGGCTGCGAGCGAAAAATTCTTTTTCATAGAACAAAGGACAATATCCACTCTGAAGTCCATATACCTTAGTTAAAGGATTTTAGTTCTTAATTTACCCCTTTCATTCGGAACCTTTGAATCGTTCTCCAAGAATTCCAAGCATCGCCTCTGCAGAAATTCAAAGTTACGTAATAATTCAGTTTGGCCGTGTCGAGGGCATCGCTATCGAACGGAAACTCGCGGCGCAAAGTGGAACGTAACGCATAGAGAAGATAAAAGGATGCGAGCAATAGAAGTTCAAAGACGCTCGGAGGGCATCGCACCGGAAAACCTTCCTGTCGTTTAATGTTTATCGGTGTACGTTTAAAAGGTGGACTGTATCGGAAAGTACTTTGCATCGACGCAGGTCCGAGACGATTCGCGATTGGAAAGCCATTTGTAACGTCTTAAGGAGGGAAGTTTACATTTTAAAGCCGCCCTATCTGTCTCTTGATACATGTCCCGAACGTGGTACACGAGTTACCGAAGTCGAACACCTTTCGCGCGATTTGTTCGCAGTCTTGTTTTATCGCGTTGCGTTGCACCCGCGGTAAATACATCGGAATACATTCACTTGTTCCTCCGAGTAAACTTTGCAATTTATTCGCTTTTAAATCCACAAATTCCCAAAGTCCTCAAATATCCGCGTTTCGAGGATCTTGTATTCTTTTAATGGCAAATCCCTCCGTACCCGTAGATCCTCAACTTTTTTGCCATATTTCCCCTAGGGAAGCCAGATTTGCTCTGAACCGCGCGCTGCTCTTTTTGGTCGAGTCGTATCGGATTGTTCAGCTCGGAACGATCGATTTCGAAATATAAGAAGAGGAAGAGTTAGGCAGAACGCGATGATATTTGCAGGTGGCGGAGTTATTGAAATACAAAAAGGCTCGGAACTCGAATCAGAGCGAGGGTGGCAGGACAAAAACGAAACGCGTCCCTACGGTGAAGAAGGAGCTGAGCACCCAAAAGGAGATCCTGATAGGAAGCAACGAGACGCAGGTGCCGAAGAGTCTGCTTCCGCCGGAAGACCCTGTAAATCGATTGAACGAAGAGACCGAGGCGATTCGAAGGCGGAACGTCGATTCCGACAAGGTGAGTTACAAACTGGAGCAACAGGATGCATTCGAAATCGTTTAGTCCGTATTTATTCGAAACAAACGTTTCCGTTGGCAGCAAATTAAATCGAGGGATTCGGGGTACTCGGAAAAATCGGCGGCCGAGGTCGAAGTTGCCGCGGACAATCGATACTCGGAATCGGAGGCGGAGAGCCCGAAGAAGTTGGACAAGCGGCAAGAAACGGTCCTGAAGGATCTGAAATCCTATTTGCTGACGGAATACGCGACCGAGGAGGAGCAGCGGCAAAAACTTCGCCAGTTAGGGGTGAGTTTTGTCATGGAAAAACTTTTTCCCTTTTTTAATAATTGATCGTTTAATAATTGATCGCTCGAACGCCGCGTTCGTTCTTCGTTCAAAACTTTCTTCCTAACTTGTTCTCGAGTCGCTGATTTTTTACTTACCGTCTTTCCGTCGAGATTAATTATTAAATATCTTTAAATCGAGGGACTTTGAATACGATGTCTGTTCCGATTGTTTTTTATCGCGAGTCAAAGTTAGTCGAAGCGATCGCAGTTTTCAATTTGTTCCATCGACGGCTAATCCTCGGTTCATGCGGAAAATTGATGGACCGCGGTCGTCGATGAATATTTCCTCTTCATCGTCCTCATTTTATGCCGCGTACTCCACGAAAATTCCTTCGCGCGTGGACGAATCCTTTGAACGTTGCACATTGTTTCCGCATTCTCTTTTCGTGTCCGTCCATCGTCCATTCATTCCCTAGCCGGAAAATCCGATTTTGGAAACGCTTCTCGTCCCGTTCTCGGTGCGACGTTGTTCGTTAGCGGATGGGCCACGATAACATTTCGGACCGCGAAAACATTCAGAGTTAACAGACTCGATAGTCGGAATAATTAACGTCGAAAAATATGCTTCGCGCACAGAGAGTAAAAACGAGAATGGAGCAGGAGAAACCGTGGCGGATAGAAAGGAGAATATTGTTCGTGGAACGATCGGGGAAATAAAACCTTGGGGTAGAATGATAAATGTTAGCCCAGTTTTCGAGCCGGTTAACCACCGACAAGTTTTCTTTTATCGCGAGAAGAGACAATGCTCCTTTCCTTCCTTCGACGGGAACGGGTCGGAACTATTTGTTTCTGTCTCGCACACACGAAACACCAAGATTCCTTGACACCGTGTATTGTGTAACGCGGAATTTTCGCGAAAGAGCGTGGACTACTATAATTGTATTTCGTCCGAAGGCTCTTCTCTTCCGTCGAAGAAGCATTACCTCGACCGAAGTAATTTATTATCCGGTGCGATGGAATTTTTCTCAAAATCCGTAATCATTTTCGAACGAATTTCTTTTTACCGCTGCGGAATAATTAACTAATGCCCCAAGACAGATCTGCAGAGTTCGTACGCGCTCAGCAATCCTAGCGAGGATAATTCGAGGATCGCATTTTCCGTGCTCCGGAGCTTCCTTCGAAATATTCCCGAAGAAAATTGCACGAGGTGCTTTGATACGGTCCGCGAGGAAAAGGATCAAACCAGGTTTCATTATCGTCATTTCTCAACCGACAAGCCCGGCTACAAAGGACTCATCCTGCCAGTTAATTCGATATTCTTAACGCGATGCCTCAACCACCGCTCCTGTAATTGCCACGACAATTGGATCCGCGAATAAGAAACGTTTTTGCCCTGGATTCAGCTAACCACACCTTCTTGATGAAACTTAAATGGGCTTGTAAGAAATTACCATCTTTCCACCGCTTGATTAATGGACAGACATCGCGTTAATTCGAACAGTTTGTATTACGAACCAGAGACGTTCTAACAATCGTTTACCCGAATTCCTCAAATTTGCGAGTTCGTGTAAATTAGTCATAGCACTTGTCGCGAAAAATGCTAGCGTTCTTCGAAAATTGAACGCGTACTTTCGCGTTTAAGTATCGTACTTTTTCTACAAACTCCGCTAATAAACTTTCTTCGTCGTGAATATTTTATCTCGGCACTCGAGTGAAAATAATTCAGGATTAGTTCGAAGCATCTCCGTCGATAAGATCTTTTTTTTTATTATTTCACCGTGTATTCTCCCGTCTCTTGCCAAGAGGACTGCACGTACCGCGTCTTCTTCCTATTTAAAAATTCCCTCTGTGCCACGCGAACGAGAATTTCTCGATTCCGTCTGTCATCTTTCTTCCTCATCTGTCCGGTGAAAGTAATTCCTTTTCTTCCTGCCGTTGAGTGCTCCAGTCTCTCGGACCTTTTTTCCCACTCTGTCTCCCCTTACTCGCTGGAGCTAATTCAATAGCCGCGACAATTGAGGGCGGCCGTGACTGCATACGGTATTCGCGCGAAGGATATTGAATTAGTTGTGAGAATGCTCCTCTTTTGTGCGGGCTAGAAACCCGTGGCGATAAGCGTGCCAGCTAGGTGGCACGATAATGGCACGATAATGGGAAAAAAGTGTGGAGACGTCTTTGCGACGCCGCGCCGGAAGAACGCGACGGATCCGTCGTCACCGAGAGCACGCTTTTAAGCGCAAATTCGCTTACTACCCTTTCGTCCTGTTATCTTTGCTCGTCAACTATGCTCCGCTTTTGACGAGTGTTCCATGTCCGCTACCTCCCTCGTGCGCGACTGTCTTCGTCGCGATATGAAATTAAAATTAGCTCGGCAACTGCGTAATTCGAGAGCACTGTTCTCGTGCATCGCGCTGCGTTATGTTACTACCTTTGTAGGAAGTTCCAAGTACACCGATACGTTGTAACAACATCGTGGCCCATAAGGATCTACGCTTCGTACAGTTACGCTCGGTATCCTCGTATTTCGACATGGCGTCGTCACGCCCCGCATTGTCACGTTCCACATCGTCGCTGTTTGCACCCCGACACTTCGACGTTACTCTCGGTATCCCGATATTCCATCGTTCCCACTTCTTCGCCTCTCTACGCTTTGCATAGCCGGTTGCGCAAATGGCCGTTCGCGATCGGCCATCGATGGCCAGGCACCGAGGAAAAAAATCGTTTCAACCCCGTCGTTACAGCCCCGCGTGCGGTAATTTAACGAGGGTCTAGCGGTCCATCGATAAATCAGTTGGATGCCCCTCTTTCGAACGAAATAGAAGCAGCACGGTATTGAAAGAGGTCGAACCGTGAAAAGCTACTCGTCTAATAAATCGATATCGAGATTCGTGAATGGGACGTCGAAGTGGACCGAGTCGGAGTTGTACAACGACGGCAACGAATATTCCCAATTCGCGGAAGCAACGTTGCGTGCATTTGGCGCTTCTCGCGACTCCAGGGTCGTTAATGATCGTCGAGTCACGTGGGTCGGGAAGTTTCCGGCGACGCGGTAGCGTGCACATTTCGCGAAACACGTTCGAGCGGAAAAACGAGGGGAAAACTCGAGCCGGCCGCGCGGAACGAAGAAAAATTCTCACGCTTGAGTCGCCGTTTCGAAACCGCGCCACGCGAGAACGTTCATTAGCGAGTTTCGTTCGTGTTCATTTGCACCGATTTTGTTAATTTCGTTCACGTTCGTCGATTAACACGTTCCGTGGATGTACCGCCGCGTCTTTTTATACTTTTTACATTTTTGTTTCACGAAATGAATCCTCTACCGCGTTTCGAATATTAAACCTCGTTTTCCGTTGGAACTTCAACGAAAGAACGATGATTTCCGCTGAATGTTTTTTGCTTTCAGCGCTTCCGTTACATTCCGAATGTTCGTAAATTTCAGTTTTCGTACCGTCATAAATGTCGATCGGTTTTTAAAACACCGGCGAAAATTTCTAGCGTCGAGGAATTTTTCCACGAAAATAGACGGTCAGACTTCAAAGTCCTTTTCTTAGATATAATTTCGGTACGATTAAGGAGGATGCAAAAGCCATGAACGTCGCGATACTCGGTAATTCATTTATGAGATGTACGTACAATTTATGGATGTATTGTTAACTAGGCTGAGAAGGATGCTTTAGCGGAGAACGTGTTGAAGCTTTTGGTGAAACTAGCAGAGAATCCGAATCGATGGGAACGGGTGCAGCAACTTCTCCGTAAGTAACATCGTCTATATCTTAAAGCAGAAAGTGATCGAGTGAGAAATTGAGGAGTTGAGGATGTACGAAACTATGAAACCATAGTTTGCAATTGATATTTGAGTAAATACATAGTTCGGTCCTCGTTAATTCTCAACCATATTGATGAGGTTCCGTCGTAATCATACGGTGTAGTCGCACGAAAGGTCCGCGACACAATTCGGAATCAATTCCGTACCAAGAAACTTCTCTCGAGAATCTTACTGTTACTAGTTAACTGCGAAACCTAACTAGTCTAATTTAAATCGGTGGATTAGCTTAAGCGAACGTAGAACAAAAATAAACGATTGTTCCTCGAAAAAGCTGAAACAGTTTTACTTATCGAAACGTAGGAGTACTTGCACCAAAGCGACGATCCATCCACAGGTGAGATTCCGAGCAGAGTGCTCGCAAAGGTTCGATCGGAGTGTTTGAATGGAGAAAAGCAGTCGTGGAAAGAGGATAGCCGTGCTGTTAATCGCGTTCCAGTCGACTCGGGAATCCAATAAAGCCTCACAATAGGTCGATTAGATAGATAGTGTCTGCATTATTGTTCACTGTAATTGCCTCTCTGACAATTAGTCCGCCAGTGTAACGTGAAAATCAATGTAATTCGCCCTAGAGGTGATGCTCTTCGCTCGCATCCACCTACCCATCCCTCGACCCTCTTTTTTTTTCCTTCCGTTCCCTCATTCGATTGCCTCCTGCTCGCTCGAACAATACGTTAACCCGCCCCTGGGTCCGGCTGCTTTTTCCTTTTTGCGCCGGACTAATCGAATTAACTGGAAACAAAGAAGATGACCGCATTTGTAATCGAGCGGATAGACTCTTGTTTAATACCGTTACACTGTGCGACAACCGTTCACGAATTTAAACTCGATGTTTCGCGAATGCCGAGGTTAGCATTCGTAATGCTGCGCGCAGACTCCAAGAATAGCACGCGGAACGAAGAGGGACCTAGATTAAAATATTGTGCTTTTAAAATATTAATTGCAGCTTTTCGTTCCGTAAATAATTCACGTTACTCGAGATTACTCGAGGTGGATTATGTATACAGAGACAGTGAATAATTCGGGAACAAGTGAGCCAGTAGGTAGAGCGCTTCGCACACAGAGACTATCTTAATCTCCATTACGGGAACAATGCCGCTTTAATAATGGCCACTTGCTGGCGTTGATGGATGAACGCCGCTCGCGAGTACCAGCTTCGAGTGACACTATTTTTTCTAAATAAAAATAATGCAACATACGCGTATCGCGGTAAATTTTTGTAGTAATTTCTCACGGCGACGGTTCTCGTACATTTCATTTACGGACAAACGAACAATTTTATTACAAATAATTACGTAGGAGGTTGCGTATCGATAGAAAGAATATTCGTTCCAAATAAATATTAAACTCGTACGAAAGAATACTCGAGTTTCGAGAATAATCACCATTTTATTTTGTTGTCGCAGTAAATACCGAGAACGACTTGAATCTCTCGAAGAACGCCATAGAGCCGTCCAAACGCAGCTACGAATCGTCGTCCACATTGTTCCCGGACACGCCACAAGCTCGCGAGGACTCGAGAAAGTCCCGTAAGAAGTTGAAGAAGAAGAAAAAGAAGCCGAAGCATCGTTTCTCGACGACCACGTTGACGCCGGTACCAGCAACGCCTCCTTTGTTGACCACCACAGAGACGCCGTGGCAAACGACGCCCGTTCAATGGCGCCTCGTCGCGGAAAGGCTCTTTGCTCCGCCGTGGCAGGAACAGACTGAAAAGACGACGAATACTCGCCACTCCGTTCCGCAAAGTCCTAGAACCTTGTCTTCTATTCGAGATCTGATCGAAAGGAGCAAACCGAAGAGCAATCTAAAGTCGTTCCCGTCCGACAGAAAAGCTACGATAACCGAAGACGTCGGGGAACTTGCTGATCAAAGGCTGATGCGGTTCGGTAACGTAGGATCTCGTCAGGTTGGTCGTATCGAGCCACACGGTGAATTCGTGAACGTCTACGACAGACCTGCAGGTACGTTGACGTATTAGGAATTCTTGCTTCCGATCGTAATTTAGCCCATAGGACTAAGCCGTATCGCGAATGCGTAAGGCAGCAAGATACGAAAGTAGCAAAGAGCACGATCACGAAGAACTCTGTAAACGAAATAATCGTATGATCATTGTTGCAGACCCAGAACGCATACCGGATTACGACGTGCCGTATCATCAACCGAGATACAATCAGTTACCTCCGGGTTCCCACGAGTTCCTGCACAGACGCGAAGAGGACTATCAAAGCGATTCGAGTATGCCGGTGGACACTTTCGGCCGCGGTCAAGACTACGAGGGTCGCGACTTCTCGTTGAGCAAGAGCTGGCCGGACATCCTGAGATACAACGCGCCGTGGAAAGCCGAGGAACGTCCTATGATACCGGTAGCTTACGACAAGTGGCCTTGGAGGCAGCCTCAGCCTGACCCCAAGTATTGGCCACAGCGCGCCAGCTATTTGCCTCTCGAGAAAAGCTACTGGTCACCCTACGGCAACGAATACGAGCCGGACGAAGAAGCGGAAGCCGCGAAAATCTGGGAGGAACAGCGAGCGCAACATTCTTGGGACAGAGAAAGACCCTGGCCTCAAGAGAAGCCCATGAAGATGCCTCCTTACTGGCAGCAGGTCGACAGACCGGCGAAGGTGTACGATCGCGAACAACCGAACGGCACGTGGGAGAAGAGCAAGAATCGTTCCGAGTTGACCAGATCCAAAGAGTCGAAAGAGAAGGTGGTGCTACCTCAGATCACGATGAAGACTTGGAACAGCTTGACCTCGGACCCGGCTACCTGGCCCCACAAGCTTCCCGGCGCGAAACCGTGGCCCAAGGACGAAAACGGAAAGTCGTACAATCCGAATGCCGATTTGGTGAAAAAACTGGGCTTGGATAAGCAGAACGGTGCAGCTTGGTCCAAGGACGAAGTCGAGAAATCGAGCGCGGAGCGAAAGCTGAAGGAGGACAAGCAGAACAGACTGTTCGCGAAGGATTCGGTCAAGAGCGAAGAGATACTTCGGACCGAAGTTTCAAAGTACAAATCCAACGACGAGAGAAACAATTTCAGCGATAACAAGGGAAGATCCAGCAACTCTGGCAAACCCTGGACGATGCTGGCCGATAAAAGCTCCAAGGACTGGATGAAATCCGAGGACGTACAGGCTGACGACTCCGGTGCTTGGAGAAGGAAATACGAGGGTAAAAATTCTTGGTCCGAAGACGCTACCTTGCCCAAGATCCAGTCGGTCGGTGCATGGGTGATGGCAGCCGACCAGTCCACCTGGAAACCCTATCAAATCAAACCGCTGGAATCCTCGGACGACATTGGTCCTCGAAGGTGGCCAAAAGCCAGGTCGAACAAGGGATCTTGGGAGAAGAACGATTCCTGGATGGATCACGCGAACGTACCTCTGGACCTCTGGCCAGGAAAATCTAACAAGGGCTCCTGGTTTGCCAAAACGAAGGATACCGATGGTTGGACGTCGAAGTCGAACAGTCCCGACTCCTGGAAGGCGAAAGGAGAGTGGTCGTCGAAACCGGAGTCCTCGTCCTGGATATCCAAGACGGGAGACAACGATTCCTGGCCATCCCGTGGCAACAACGGTGGCTCCTGGTCGACCAAAGGCAACGAGTCCTGGACGTCGAAGATCAACGACGACGGCTCCAAGTTCAACGGAGACTCGTGGACCTCGAAGACCAAGGAGGAAGATTCCGTGGACGCTTGGAGCAGGAAATCGAACGAGCAGAATGGCTGGGGATCGAAAAGCAACGATCTGACGCCGTGGCAGCAGAAGATGAACGACGAATGGAATTACGGGAAGTCTAGCTCCACGGGTACTTGGCCGGCTAAATGGAAGCAATTCGCGTATCACAGAGTGACGGCCATGCCCATCTCCAAACCGGGGACCACGTCGGACGCGAATTCGTCCAAGTCCAAAAACGCCTTCGTCGCGGTGTCCGCGGTGTCTTCGCCGAAGTATACCGGAAACGAGTGGCGGAAGAACGAAGAGGAGAGGAACGAGAACGGCAGGCAGGAAGAGCAAGAACGGTCGAGCAATCAAGTTCAGGTGGAACTGGAACGACCCATTTACGCCTGGAAGAAGGATTCCGGACTGAGGACCGCCTCGACGAAAAGCAACGCCACGGATCCGCTGGAGAATCAGCTGGAAGCACTCAGACAAATTGACTTCTGGGCTTACAAAGAGAACGAGGCCGAGGTGAGCTTATTAAATTCCGTCCATGATCCCGACAAATGATTCTTACGATCTATCCGAACGGGACAGGGAAAATGGTTTCCCGATGCAGATGTTCCTTGGTGTTTAATTGAATTCATACAGAATGGATTGCCGGCGACACTCGTGCAATTTCATTAGTTTTAATGTATGTACACTCGGCTGCGGCGTAATCTTCCTTTCGATAACGTCACAAGTGTAAATTTTCGTAGCCGCAAATTCTCGAGTTTTAAACGCGATCAAATATTGCATTGTAAATCGTAGGTGAAGTTCTAACGCTTCAGAAAGATTATATAAGTATCTTGATTCGATAAAACGAAACAGCAAATCTGTTTTCGTACTTCGGTTGAACGGAAAACGAATGGCTTCCGTAAAGATTTTGACCAACGACGAAGGTAATAAATAGAAAGGAAGAAATCCAAAAGTTGATCACATCGGGCGGATTCTTTGGAGGTGTCCCTGGAATGCTATGAATCGACTCGATTGCACCGTTTCTTCCATCGAGTTACGGCAACGAAAGTTTCCCTGGAATTGGATCCGCTGGTCGGATCGTGTATAAAAGTTTCCCGACAACTAGCCACGCGGAACGTGCGAGTAAATCACGGTGAATTGTGGTTCAAAGCGTACCGAACCCGTTCACGGACTTTCTTAGCCGTTAATTCGTCGACTCGTTGAGCTTTGTTCTTTATTCCCGTGGCCTCGCGTGCTTTCCCGCGACAATTTCTTTCGGCCAATTAATCGGTTTTTGCGAACAACTCTCGGAAGGTAAATTAAAGTCTTCGAGTTCGACGAGAAACCGATGTAACCGGTATATAGGTTAATAATATAGAAACGCATCGGACTAATTAAAAGTTAAATTACAAAAGTTCCGCAAATCGCTGAGCTCTCGCAAATGGAATAATAAAACGGAGTCTGGAGAGGACGGTCATTCGAATTCGAAACGCGATCGCTTTTAAACGAACGGTCGTCGAAATTTGAGCGACACGAACGATCGATAAAGGCTTCGAATATGAACCGGCGAGTATCGATTGACGGTACATCGTTTATCGCGCGAACGGTACAAGATGCATACGGTGTGTCGTTGATTCGAAACGTGTTAAGATCGTGCAGAACGTGCAAAGGAGCGATACAGCAGGAAAGACGTTCGAATTGGAAGTAATCCCGGGCATCGCGGTGCTTTTACGTGCCGCAATTTCCGGGATCCGTTGACGAGCACGTGCTTGGACTTGGTTGAGCTGCCGCAGCTCGACCGGAAGCAAGCGACGCTTCCCTTCCGCCGGTGAACCTTACGTGATCCTACGACTGATTGCGAAACTTCACCGCGCCACGAGCGTGCTCGACATAAAGCATCCTCGTTACTTTCCGATCGTATCTTCGCAAATTTTACCTTCTATCGATGCTAAATCTTTCAACGCTTTATACTTCCGCGGTTCACGACTTCCTAAACGGTTATCGCGCAATTCTCTTATCCTGCACTTTCGTTTTAGAACGTTTCGCCCCGTTCAACGCGTTTTATTATACGTATTAACATGCGCTGTATAGAGGATGAGAAGTCATTCGAATAATTTGGTTGCCGACGGTGATAGAAAGAAATGCATCGGACAAAATTCGTAAATTCGAAGATTACGAAATGATGCTTGACGTTCTGCTTACAGAAGCGATTAACGTCGACGAACGCGAGCACGGAGACGACGTCCATGATTCCGAGGAACTCGACGTCGACGGGGATGCAGCGACGATCGGTGATGGGAACGGGGAACAGTAACGACCTTTCGGAGACGAATCGACGCGCGATCTCGATGAAATAGATCGGAAGTTAACCGTAGATGTACGAGGTTGCCCGACGAGTACCGGTCTCTGTTCGATCGACAATAGGCTACTACGCGAAGTCTCCGAGCAATTTCCAACGAGTCTCTGGCCCCCTGCCAAGGTGCACCGAAGCCTGTCACCAGTCTGCGCTTTATAATTTGATCCACGTCATGGAATAATCTCTTTTTGTCCTCCCATCACGTGTACCCGAGAGTAAACTCGTTATCCCTCCGAGCTTTCGTTGAATATATCCTCGATTACTTTGTTCCGCTCGTTTAATCCTCCGACTCTAGCTTTCTATTTCGTTCGTGCATCTTCGATACGATTGTTGATTTTTTAATCGAATGTAATCGGTGCCATATTAGATTAGAGTGTTATTCGTCGATGTAACGTTGTATTTTTGAAGCGTACGTGGGCGTGTGAACGAGATCGTATCGATGATACAAGAATTTTATTTAAAATAATGAATAAATAAAAAGAAAAATGGGAACAATCGGGATACGGAAGATTTATTTGTTTATCTACTAGTCGGATTGTACGAAGCGCAAATTTTATGGCGTACTGTGGATCGGATAAGTATTGTCTGCCGAACACATTTTATAACAATAATAATCCGATCGTTAAAAACAATTGCCGCGATAGGTGCTTTTCTGTACACCCGAATAACGTGCACTTTTACAGTGCAAATTTATAATTTGCTTCTATTCTATTCTAAAGTACACTTCGATTTTCTACCGATTTCGTAGCTACGCGAGTTTCGCTTTTAGTTCGCGCGAAATGGGGAAGAAAAATACAGGAAAACCTAAGAATATAATATTATTTTCCGGTTTGTTCGACTTCGTTGCACAAAAGGTTTAACCCGGAAATCTTTTCTTGCGGTTTATTCAATGGTCATCGAAGTAAAGTCGACTTCCCGCAACCAGCGATGCTTGGATCTTTCGATTCCATACGCTCCTCTTTCTCTTGTTAGTCCTCCCTTATTTCCGGTTTAGCGAATCTTACCCTACCGCTCTAACCAAGCGTATTCGATTTCGATTACGAATTTTTATCTCGATCCAGTGAATATCCCGTTCAAGATCAAAGTCGAGAACACTCCACTCGGAAATCTATGCTTATTTCTACATGAACGGTTAAATCTTCATCGCTTTCAAGATAAAGAATACATGATTTTTCGGGAATACTGGCGGAGATTATAATATTGAGAGAATGGTAATATAAGAAGTTTTACTTAAAGATTTGGGAGTTTCTAAATTTGCAAAATTTTAAATGTCAAGTGCGGTTCTAACTATCCAAAGATCCAAATTCCCAAATTTCCAAGTTCTGGAACTTCCAAGTTTCGCGAGCTCCCAAGATCCCAAACTTTAACACCTCCAGATTCCTAAATATTCAAATTCCCAAATCCCTAAATTCCCAAGTCTCTCCTTCTACCCCGGAATTCTGAAATTCCCAAATTTCCGCGTCCCCGATCTCTCAACTTCCAGAGTCGTTCTTCGTTAAATTTTGTATTCGAATTTTCCAAGTTTCTCTGTTACTAATTGTTTGATAACGAAGCGAAACGAATTAGAAAGAGAGGCATTGGACGGAAAGAAAAGGTTTGCCAGCGCCGTGTTTCGAGGAGAAACATGCGAAATACGGAGAGGGTGGTGGTTTTTTTGTCGGAGTAGAAAAGAGGGTCGACAACGAGACAGTTCATTCTGTCGCTGGAATAAGGGGTTGCTCGTTTAGGCGCGAGACGTTCTACGAGCCCAGGATAAATAGCACGGAATAAACTAGCAACCGGTTCTTTTTCACAAAGCTAATTAACCCTTTGAGTAGGAAACTTTCCAGACACGAATTGTTACTAGGAACAACTTTTGCTCAAGTTTCGAACGCTCCTTTTGCGTTTCTCTTCCTTTCAAATTTATTCGTATTTGCCTAAGTTCTATTATACCCCCTTTGCCCGAGAAACTTGATCATTTTTAAATCGACTCTCTTTTCGAACCAACATCGAATACTTTTCTTTTGCAAAACTATGTCAAATCGGTCGGCGCTAAAAGTCTTCTCTTCAAGTCAGTTATATTCTATTTCCAAATCGTAGACTCGCATTCTTCCACGAACATAAAACAGTATCGCAAATTACACGATCCATTTGTACTTTGACGCGACGTATACGTCGAGAATCCTGCGAGGATCAAAGGTCCGCACAGTACATGCTCACGTACGCGATCAAAAACTCATTTACATTTCTCGTACGATCCATTAGGAAGGATAATCGTAACTAATTAATCATCCCGATTATGGGTCGGATTAATTCGATCGACCGAATTAATTCGCAAAATGTAATTCCCGTTCACGGAGAGAGAGAGGGAATCAGAAGGGAAATCATAGTGCACTATTACGGGGCTAGCGTACGGGCTTTCGCGAAAGAGGAAGATGGTAACTTCGCAGCGTGGAAAGTTTAGTAGGAAATTGAGCGAATATTTTTTCTACGGGACTGAAATTGTCGGTCACGGCCTACATGGCCGTCCAATTCTAGGAAACCTTTGAGTGCCCCTAACGCGTCACAAGTCGGACCTTTTTTAACCCTAACGATCGACGAAATATCGAAAACGTTCTCGATGATTTAAAGCGAAAGTAATATGAAAAGATCCCACCGACTTTTAACGCGTTAAATCGATCGTCTCTTCGTTCGCTTGAAACAGCATCGATAAATAGCAGGCAAAAGAAGAATCGATGACAATATTCCGAAGACAAGGAAAACATCCTACGTTGTAAAGAAGTTAGTCTGGCATTCGACGCGTTGATTGACTTTGCTTTGACACGCGAATCAATTTTTTAACCCGTTTCAACTTGCTACTCCAAATTGTCAAAGTAATTCTAGCAATATTCGAAGCGTTTGATGTCGGACGAATTTGGTGGCAGTCAGCGCGTTAAAGAGCGGGACTAACCGTACTGTAACGAGGGCAATATGTTAATTGACCGATGAAAAGAATAAAAGAACGATAAAGAGAGACTGAATATGTGGCATATCACTTGAAATATAATTCTCGATTGGACCAGCGACTATATGTTGATGTGTGTGTAGATAAAACATGACCGAAAATGTTAACCTCTTCAGGGATATTAACATTCGTGTGTACATATAATTTCTACCTTCTTTTTTTCAATTTAAACATGCTTAACAAAGTTATAAACATTATTGCAAATAAACGTTCCCTACGATGTTCCCAAATAAAGAAGAAACATATCTGGTTTGAAATATTCATTTCTTTGCGATTATATTTACCTCGAATACATCCATCCAAGAATACATTTTACCGAATTTATGGCGTATTGATAAAACACACGGAATCGAATCTTTGGTCGCTGCGATGCTTTCTACGCTGTTTAGGATTTAAAGCGCTCGCAATTATTCTCCGAAGTCTCGAGGATTCAAGAGGTCCAAAGTCTTCAAATCCTGACGTCCCGAAATTCCCAAAATCCCAATTCTAATATTTCCAAACCGAAAACAGTAAAATTCCTTTCGAACGAGTTCAAGTTAAATTCATTCCCGAAGAGGTTAACGCGAATATCAGTTTTATTGGTTCGTGCAACGTTCGACCTTTTCATCTGGACCTTTTTACCCGGACCAATCCACAGAGAATCGCGGGAAACGCTTTTCCAGCAGGAACGTCGTCGATTTCCTCTTGAAGGATCGAGTTGGCGATTTATGAGGGTTGAACGCTTGAAATTTAGATGAAGTCCGTACGAATTCGAAAGTCTGTTTGTCGTGCACCCTGTTCGAATTATTTATCGATTCGTCGTCGGTGATCGACTTTGCTGGACCTGGCTGGCCATCCGTTTTTTCTCTTACAGAAGGTACTGTAAATATGTGCATGCCCGACGGTACTTTTATTTCGAAGACACGAACGGGAAAAACTGTCAGGATGTTGAAACGAATTTTATTTCTCTTTTCAAAAGGATTTAATTGTCCTGACCGGATTCGGCGCTGACCACACGCGTAATAACGCGAACCAGAATGGGTCAATTGCGACTATCAAATTTTTACGTTGAAAATTGAGCAAACTTGTAAAGGGAAAACATTGATCGGAGTAACAGGTGTTTTATTTCTGACTAATAATTTTTGTTCTGAACACTTTTTTTTCTATCGTTCTCTAAAGCGTTCTCGCATCGATTTATATTAGAGTCAATAGTATTTTTTCAGATTATTGAAATTCGTTTAAATTCATTCTTCATATTTTTGTATCTATTTGGTATGTGCTTACGTACGTACTACATGGCAGGAAGTTGCATATCATTTTATGACTTCGTGTCCCATATACAGAAATACCGATCGTTCTATGATGCCCTCTGGTAGCAAACTTTTCTATAGTCTTTACACTTTTGTATGATATTGTATGATAATTATAAATTTTAACTTTAATTTCAATTTTACAATAATTGTTGCAATATTTTTTTCTATTCCACATTGTTGAAATAGTAAATAATAGTGTTGTTAAGACTTATATTTTACCTACTGCTAATGTTGGTCCGCGAACAGCGTACCTTTCTGACAGTTAGTAATTAACTTCTCTGCTTTATCGATTGTTGGACAGGTAAGTAGTTAATAATTTATTAATTACAAATTGTTGAGACAACGGAAAATTAAATTAAATTTTAATCGTATAACTTTGTTCGAGTTTTCTAAATATTAGATCGACGCTTTCATTATTTTAATCTGTTGTACAAAGAAGTTCGAGAGTCTTCGTTAATTGCTAGGAGATATTTCTCCGGATTAAAAGTTTATTGGAGAATTGCGGAAAACTTAAAAAATGAACTACAACTGTTTTCTCCGAATCGATAAGAACTCTTGTACCTGTTTCGGAAAAATCCGATAACAGCGGAGAATACAATTTTGTAATAAGTTAATAATCTGTAATAGATCTCTGTTATTGCTTATTGATCGACAATCAGCGTCCCATAACACCTGATAAAAGATCTTAATTACGTTCGATAAGAGATAAAAAGAGATTGTGAAAGTACTTGCCGCATTTATCTCTCCGATTTCAAAAAATTGCACTTTCATACCGCTCGATGAAGGAATTTTCAGAAGTATTGATTTTTCAACGAAACAAACTCGTGTATCCATTTCCTTGTAATCGTTTCTTCGTCAACAACCTGAATTCGAAGGCATTGAAAACGACAGCTGATACTTCGAAACTGATGTGTGATTAATTAAACACAGCTGAGAAATCAGTTTAACATTTAAGTTAGTCATTATTCATACATCGTGTCAAACTTTGGTATCGAATTTGTTGTAGAACAGTTTTCTATCGCGTTCTGCTTTAACAAATTCGACAAAAACGAGGAATTACATAGTAGCCAGAATTCGTTATAGCTCAATTCATTGTGGCTCGTGTAACGCCATTATTAACTAAGAAGGCAAGAGTACTGTAGATCAAGAGTACAGAAATACACCTAGAGATGTTGGGATTTACTTGAAGATGTAAAGACACAAAAATTGAAGGATATAAATGTACAGATTACTAGAAATATAATCCGAAAATAAAAATATGTAAAGATACTGAAATCTAAGGGTGTCAGAACATAAAATACTATAAAGTCCTAAGAATTATAAATTCAGAAAATACGTTTTTTCATTTATCTCCGCTCTTCCAGGTGAGTACCGAAAAGATAAATGGTCGTACGCAAGACCCCGGCCTTCTACGATCGATATCTTGATCAATCGATAATCTTTTTGTGAACACAAAAAACCGAAATAGATATACGAGTAATGATATCATCCAAGATTGTCAACGATGTGTTCACGTTTAGTACTGCTCGCGATAAGATAAACACCGTTCCGATTAATTCTGTTACTATGAAACGAATTTTGCGACAGGAGGAGATGCCCTATATATAGTAGTTAGGAATGTGTCACTTTTATTGTGTTGATCGAACCGATAACTAAAGGGATCGATCATGGCATTCGCGAAATTATTTCTGATCGCTTGCTTTGTGGGAATCTCCCTACGGGAGATCCATGGACACGGGATGATGTTGGATCCTGTCAGCAGGAGCAGCGCCTGGCGACAAGGTTTTCCCGTCGGTGTCAATTACAACGACAACGAGGTTTTCTGCGGCGGTTTCCATGTGAGTACCATTAATTGATCAGAGTCCTGCAAATTTTGCATTTTGTATAAGGTGCGATTGTATCTCTTGGATAATTTCTGTCGGGATTGGTGAACTTTTCGCGACAGTGTCGTTCAGGATGCAGTAGTTTTAATAATTCGAGACCTCGATGCAACTTGATAAAAGTTTTGACTAACTTGAAGAACTGTGGCTTCTTGCTTTTCGGTTGTTGCAGTTCATTCCGTTCAGTAAAGAGATTCGAAAAGTGAAATGCGAATTTTGTGTTAATATATTGCAGGTTCTAGTGGAAGAAAACGGTGGAAAATGTGGCGAGTGCGGGGACAACTATGCTCTTCCTCGACCCAGACCGAACGAGAACGGTGGAATCTTTGGACTTGGAATCATCGTCAAGAAGTAAGTTCAAATCTTCCAAAGACAAAGCATTTCTTGCGACTCTCTTGAAACGAGTGCCCATTCGAGATCACCCGGGTAATTGATTCGATCGACATTCGTATTCGCACCATTCCTGACATTTCCATGTAGAATTACGAAGAGCATCGACTCCAAACTTCCATATTTTCATCAGGTACCGCCCAGGCGAACTCATTAACGCGACGGTGCAATTAACCGCCAATCATCTGGGAAGCTTCACGTTCCATCTGTGTCAACTGATGAACGAGCACCACGTGGAGACCGAAGAATGCTTCGCGGAACACCCGCTGCAGTTGGCAGACGGTTCCTACGAGGCAAAAGTGCCGCATAATAAAGCGAAATTCGTCATCCCGATTCAACTGCCAGAGAATTTCACCTGCGAACACTGTGTGCTCCGATGGCATTACAGAACCGGCAACAACTGGGGCGTGTGCGACGATGGCAGTACCGCTTTGGGCTGTGGGCCACAGGAAATCTTCAGGAACTGCGCGGACATTTCGATTCTTCCTCCTTCCAACTCTTCTTCTTATTAGACGTCCTACGGTTTCGTAATTGGAATACAGACTTTTGATCGAACTGAGACGTTTCAGAACATTCGAGTTAACCCTTTTCGACGCTGCACGCTGTTGACGAGTTAGATTCTCTGAACGACATGAATGCGGAGCTAGTCTTCCCTAAGGAAAAGTATGCCTCGTGAAATGTTACAGCAAAGTTCTAAATTAATATTTATATTGTCATCGTAGCCTTTTTCCCCAAGGAAGAGTAGCGTGTACCGAGGGAAATTTCCTAACGAACAATTGTTTCATAAACCAAAACACTGACAACTGTTTCTTCCTCTTTACAGGTACTTCTGAAGCTTGAACGATGTTAAAAAAGGAAGAACAGATTCGGTAGGTATACAGCGAGAATTCTAACTCGGTAGATCTTAGGGAGCCTATAGGAACAGGACCTGTGACGTCAGCCTTCTTTCCTGCACTGGTCTTCCCCTCTTCCGAGGTCTCACTGAGTCAGAAGTCTCGTTGTGCATCTGCTGGATGTCTTCCCAAATAGGAGAAATTCAGTCCCGAAATATTTGCTGCTTTTCCCCTTCTAAAATCAGAAAGGTAAGCGCATCATATGGTTTTCCCTACTTGGAAAGACATCCAGTAGATGCACAACGTGACTTCTATCTTAGTGAGATCTCCGAAGAGGGGAAAACTGAGAAAGGAAAGAGGCTAACGTCACAGGCCCTATCCCTTTAGGTTCCCTAAGATCCTACTCAGTTAAAATTCTCGCTGTAAATCTTCCGAATTCGTTCTTCCTTGCTTAACGACATCGTTGTAGCTTCAAAAGTACCTGTAAAGGAGAATAAACGGTTGTCAGTGATTTGATATGTGGTTGCAGATTCATCATCCGTAGTAACGATATTCGATTACTTTCTACCCGTGGAAAGGTGGTTCCCCAACCACCGTCATATGAAATTTTGAGGATAGGGCAGGGAGGAGGAAGGATAGACATTTTCGCTACGGGTCTTTCCTAGTTTCCGTAGTATTAATAAATAACTTCTTATACGACGTACTAAATTCAGCCTATGCGGACACTGCGAACACGGCTGTCGTCGTTGGAATAGTGGCTGTCGTCATCGAGAGTTGAAAAAAACAACGACGAGGACGACGAAGATTTCATTCGGGGCGACACGAATGAAATCTTCGTCGTCGTCGTTGTTGTTTTTTTCAACAGCCGTGTAGGCGAGACTAATAGCGACATTGACCTCATCCCATGAAAAATGGGCACCGATGATGATTCATCGATGCGTAATTTTTCATCGGACATCCCAGATAGAGGATGATACGGGGCTCCATGTCTCTATTTAACCTCGGCTACTCGGTGACAGTGACTATTACAACGACCACAGCCGAGTTCGCACAGTCCCCATATGCAAAATTTAGTCTGTTGTATACGAAGTTCTTTAGAAACGTTTCGGAAACTGCGAAAGACCCGTAGCTAAAATTTTCTATCCATCCCCCTCCTCCCCTATCCTCAAAGTTTCATTTCGTAATGGTGGTTGGGTCATACCACGCTATATTTCCTTTGTAATCGTTCGAATGCATTTAAAGTGCCGCGACACACAAGTCACCAGTGTCTGACGCGTTAACGGGTACATATCGGGTGAGCCAATAGTAAACTATTCAACAACGTATTGGTCGTTTTCGTCCACTACTTTTTACCATTTTTCTTGTCATTCTTGGAGTAACGTTCAGAGTTGACATACTCGTCACGTTCGATGAATCAACAGCGTTCACGTATTGTTTATGACGTAGTGCAGTGTACAAAGTATGGTGTAATAGTATATAGTGTATAGTGTAAATTACAATGTAAGATAAAATAGACAGAGCACAGTATATACTGTTCCACGTGTACAAACTACGATGTATAGAGCATAATGTATAACGTAGAGTACATGGTGTAGCGTGTAATGTAGGATGTAACGTACAACGTATTGCATATTACATTCTCTACAACAGAGAGTATGTGGTATCATATATAGTGTATAATGCATCATACACTATATGATAGCGATATGATGTATAATGCATCGTACACTACATGCGACACCACATGCTCTCTATTATAGAGAGTTTAATACGCAATGCAGCATACAATAGAAGTAGTATATAATACATTGTATAATTTAGAATATAGTATAGAATACACAGTGATCGATTGAAAGTCTAATGCACAGAAAGCGAATAGCGCAGTTCCATTTCACTTTTCGATATTATCGACGTATTGTCCAATCTTTGTTCGATCGTAAAATTACCGATTTTTCAAGCGGAGAGGAAACCTTTATCTTGCAAGATCTTCCAAGACTCCGAAAATATTTACGATAACCTTAGTACGACGGCGATAAGACGTATTGATTGAGATTAGATAAACTGTACCTGATGACGTTAGTTTACGAGAAAATTGTGTACCTCACGAATTGGGAAATATGGATTATCCCTATGAGTATCTGTAAACAGAAGCGGGATGTCGAAAATCAATAAATATACCAAAACAACCATAACTTACTCCAGAATTTTTTTCATTGTAAATGTTCGTTGTTTTTTACCCGCTGTCTTAATTATGTTATCATCTTTTTTGTAAGTACCAAGAGAAAAAGGTCGAAGACAATCGTGCACTTAACATCGTAACACATTGAATTTTCTAAACGCGTCCGTTCATTGTTCGAGATACGCGATGCAACAGGTGATAAATAATGCAAAAGGGAAATAAAACAGCCGGTTGATAATGTACGCTAATACGGCGTGCAAATTAACGGGAAACGTGTACATGCAGATTATGCGGCACGCTTTCACCGAATCTCGGTCTTCGCTCGAGCTTTGGCCTCTGTTTTGCTCCATGCACCGCAATTTATGCTTTCCTTCTTGCATTCCTCCTTCCTGTCCGTTACTTTGTCCAAAATTTCGTCAAGTATTCCTTAAGTACACACCAAGTATATTTCGACGTACAACTGCATAATATAGTTTTTATTTTAATACAAAATTTTACAAACGAACGAATGGAAGCTATTACGTTTAACGTATACCGTAATTGCACTGTGCTAAAAACGAATCGAATAATTAGCATTCAATGACATCTTTCGCTATAATCGTTGGCGTAACTAGAATTTCTATTCCGGGTCAGATTGTGACAATTCGTCGCACCGGACGCGATCACGCGACTTATGGAAACTTAGAAACGTTTCATAATTTGGATAGGTGAGCTAAGTTACGCCAATGGCCATGAATAATCGGATTCATTGTGATGCGAATGACGAGCTTGCGTTGCCTAAAACTCAAATGGAAAATCCGAATCTTGTAACGATGACTAACCCGTCGTTTCGTAAAAAGATCCTAGGTCCTTCTACGCGTACCGGATGCGGACGTAGCTGTTAACTTCTCGGTTCTTCTTTTAAGAAGAAAGTTTCGACGTATCGGGTTAAAGGTGTGCAATTAATCGAACCGGATTATTTACGACGCGTGACACGAAGCTATCGGCGTTAAAATAGTACCGTGTATATTAAAGTATCAGAATTTATGCTTCCTTATAGCGTTCAGACACGGCTAAAACGTTTTCGCGTGACGAAGGATCTCGTAATATAATAGAGCGGTGCGGAGAATGATTTCGTTAACGCGGAGGATTTCGAATCTGGTTCACCAACCGCGTGACATAAGACACGAACACACGTGTCGAGATCATTACAAGGGTGATACCGATGGTTGTACGTGTGAGTCCGGATAGAACCCACTCGCTTTTTCTCCGTGAAAGATTTCTCCGGCCAAACTTAGCCGAGGCCTTCCTTGACCGGACTCGATTCGTCTACAGGCTGACTCATTTATCAGGAATTTCCTTCAGAATCTTCGAAATACCGGTTACTCTTCGAGAAAAGAAATTTACTCCAACAATCGGCGTGAAAATCCTTTTGATCATCGCCGAACGCGTCCTGCATTCGTGGATCCCATTGTTCTGACTTTGTCGAAGCATCTGGAGGTGTGTCGTCACCCTGACCCACTAACACTTTCTCTCCAAGAAACTTCCAGACGAATGTGTAATCCGACATGACTAAATCAATAAATATATCGAACTTCTTACGATTTGTCTCTGATTCACGGGGCCTAAGATGAAACTTCGCTATTTTTACGATTTAAGATTAAACCTTCCTAAAACTTACGGAGAACCTCCCTAGAATCTTCCTATCTAAGCTGTCCCTTATTTCTTTAATACAACTTTTTAAAATGAAATTAAAAAACGCCGCTGTCGTACGAACGAGGTTTTTAAATTGAAATTTTGAAAGCCGTGCCATGCTCCAAATTAATACAATGACAATGATTGCGAGATGACATGGTTGCAACAGGACCCGAACGATTGTGTGTTAATTGATTCGTTAAATAAAATGAGAGAAACGACGTATGCGAACGCTGGGTTGTTTTTGTCAGAATTCTCGAGGAGAAACTGTCGCGAGTGTATTATCGAAAATTACATTGTTCTGCGGTCAGCGAGAGACGCTTTGTTCGAGCAGTAACAGCGACGATCGATAAAATACACGAGACGAAAATACGCGACAACGCACGCTTACTTTCGATTTCACCGCTTTCGCTTCGATACGTCGATGCGTTAGTTCGATTCGTATAATGCGTCTCCTAATTTCGACCTTGAAATGTCGTTTCAATGACAAAATGGCGTGTATTATGCTAAAGAATCTTTTTCGTCAATTATTTCGACAACGTTGCTTAAAGAAAATTAGTAACAGTATGAATTATCGCTGCGGTACAAAGTTCTTCGTTTAACTTTAGAAATTGTTCTACACTCGAGAATAGTACCCGTCATGCGACTACGTCTTCGGAAATCTTACTTATCGACGGTTACCGACTAAGCCACGGCAAAAGGCGACTAAATATGAAATAGTGGCAGCTCCGAGTCGTATATTAGGTTTTCAACAAAATTTCAAACTCAAGAGCATCTAAATTCTAAGGTTCTGAAATTCCTGAAGGTTCCGAAGGTCCAAAATCCCAAGGATCATCTTTGAACATTGTCATTTTTAGCGTCCCCATTTTGAGACTAGAGCCTCTAAAGGAGTAAACCTTTCTGCATCTGAACTATAGATTCTCCGTCACGCGTGCACAGTGAAAATAGCATGAAATTACTTAAGACAAAAAAGCGCGTTACGCCAATGCCTGCGAAGCAGAAGAGCGAGAGCCTAACGGCGCGTTATCCTCGAAGAAGCAGAGGTTCCCCCACCGAGTGGCGGGTGTTGATCGCGTGTCCAGGACCCAGCGTGTGTCCGTTGCTTTGGAATCAGCCTGTAAGAAGGCGAGTGTAGAGAATTCTCCGGCTGGTCGGAGAGGAGGAATGAAAGGCAAGCAAGAACCACAAGGAGGAGGTAGATCCCGCTCACCGGTGCACTTCACCTCCGGCCTCGGCACGGATCGCGACCGGATCGACCGACTAATCAGTGAACCGAGTGAATTAACGTTTCGTGAATCCCCATTTTGTGTCGTTGGCATAGTGTTTTCAGCGCTGTTGTGATCGTCGAGAGTCGTACAGGTTCATTTGGCCGAAGGGAAGCTACGTTTGATCGATCGCTGCTCGAGCGTTCGCTCGGAGTGACAGACGGTAAAGGATCCATCGAGCACGACTGGTGTTTTCAGCGTGTTTTAAGTGGAACTGTGCAGAAGAATGCGGTAGGATGCGTATCCAGGAAAGATGTTTTCTGCACGCGGTCGTAGGACTTTGCCTGTTAGGCGGAGTCGCCCTGTTGTCGTCGGCCCAAGAAGTTGAGCCACGGACACAAACCACCATCGGTGAGTCGCCACTGCCACTGTTGTTTTTGCACAGCGGATTGCTGCCGGCGGGAATCTTTGCTTTTTATAATGTCGAGGTGTCTCGCAATTTGGAGCTGTCGATGCTACCTGCCAGATTCTTTCAATGGTGTCTACCAATTTCACACCTCTAGTTATGGTCTCCGCACTTTCAGAAATTTGCCCATGTCTGTTTTTCAAATTGTTCCTCCAAATCTGGCAGTTTTGAAGTATCCATCAATATGCACGTGTTTGCAGAAGCATGTTCTTCGAATCTTGACACAAGTACCTTCGAAGTGCACAACCATCGCAGGATAAACCAATCAAATCCCTTAATTACTTGAAGATCGATTCTAAATGTAAGATCGAGTGAAACCATGATTCGCAATTTCTTACGTAACGGAACATTAACGCCCCGTAACTCGGCATCAAACGCTACCGTATAAGAAGAGTATCGCCCATCAAAGTAACGGTATTCGTATAAAATCGTGAAAAAAATTCTTCGACGATTCGATCACTGACAAAAGAGAATCAGGGCACGCGAAGACGAGTTCCCGCGAAATCGGGACTTCCGCTAGGAGACCAGCCACGCTGGCTTTTCCTCCATCTCCGGAGAGATTTTTTCCAAAAGAGGAAGAAGATTTCGCGGCAATGGAGGACGATCGGTTCGAGAAATCGCGTTGAGATGTTCAGGTTGCCCACTGACACGAATATCGGCTGTTGTCGATGGAAATTGCGCGATATCGTCCTTCTTTAATATCCGGTATTCGAATTCACAAACGGGATGGACGATCTTTTCCTAAAGATTTTCCACAAGAAGCGGAATGAAATTTTAATTCGATCTTTAATGTTGAAGATTTTAATTATCTTCGTTCGCGGAAATGAATATCCAGTTATATACCGATATCCCCTATGATCTGAGTAAAGGCAGACGATCAGAACGAAACGAGCAAGAAAGACACGACAGCGATGGTGGGCCGTAAAGTGGTGTTTATCGCGTGGAAAGTTCGTTGCAGCGATTACTTTCCACGGGGGAAGATTCCAGTGGGGAAATCGAGATCCTTACCACGCGATTCTGCGATGTTTTTGCTCCTCTGCTCGTTACCGCTTCCTCGGAATCTCTGACAACCTCGTCAAACCCTGTCGTTCGAAAACACTGATTCGAACCACCATTTCTCTTCGCATTCCGCTCGTAAAGACCTACCGTCATTCCACCTTTTCTTTCTTGCGACATTCGATAATTTCCCATGTTCCTCGCATTCAGCTTCTGGAAACATATACCCGCCATTTTCTTTTTCTCCATCGCAGAATTTCATTTGTTCGAATTACAATGTATCAAAAAGTTACCCTGGTACGTTTTGTTTATGTTCAGCATTACGGTAATTCCAAACTTCCACAATTTGTTGCAACATTTGCCGAGGCTAAATTACGAGCGAGCAAATCGTGGACGGAGCAAACCGGTTTCACAGTTGCCTTTTAATACGTCCTCTCTAATATGTACAGGTCGAGTTAGAGCCACTTTAACAGAAACTACACGTAAAAGTGCTTCGTTATCGATACATATATCGAGGGGAAAGGGAACACTCGTTCAAATCGATCCTGCGCTTTCGCACGTGTCCCCTCGTTGCTGCTTTGCGAGTCGAGCAGGTAAACAGAGAAGTTGAAGTGTGGGAAGTGTTAACGGTAACGTTGTATCCACCTGACAAACTGGTCAATACGATCCTGCAAACGTCCTTGAGGAAAAGGTCACATGGATGACCTTTAACTCAGCCGTGTCGTAAATCGTGATTCCTTCGAAGACGATTGAATGATTAATTTCTGAGGTATTCGCTACAGAAAAATATGTTGCCTACGCAATAGGAAAAACCGTTTGACAATATCGGAGTACCTGTTACGAATCTGTAAGTAGACTTGGAAGAATGTCAAATAGAAGGAACGACGTTACACCATGGAGAAAGAATTAGCTCCAACTAAATCGTCATCGTATTCTTCGTATAAATTTCTATTCTGAAATCATAAACCAACGTGAAAGTGTCAAAAGAAAATATAGAGATAGCTGGTAGCCGGTTGCTCAGGGAAGGGTTAACCGCACAACTTACCACCTCGTTCCAACCAAAGAAACCTAATCCACGTGGATATAATTGCGCCATCGCAATTACTCGTAACACGTGCTCAAAATGTAGCTTACGAACGAACAATCGGTACGTTAAGTAAATGGCAAACACGGAATTAATTAGGTCAATGATCCGGAAATTCATCGGATTCAAAAGTTTAACAAAAAGCGATATGATTCTGAAATGGAAGTTCCATCTTCTTATTCGGATCTTTGTACTCCTCTACGCACAAATGTAATTATTGTGGAGCTCGTCTCTTTCTCTGGCTATGATCACACAATGGAGGTTATTAGCGAAACAATGAAACGAATTTCACGAGGGAATGTAGGTTGCTTAGGTAGATTCGACGACGATAGCCGCTCGAGTTTCATTCAAGATTCTGTACACGGTGAACAACGCGTAAAGGTGATTAAGTAACGTGTTCGTAATCGAACAAGGAACATTAACATGTAACTTTTGTTCGATACGAGGATGTAATTTCAAAGATACCGCGCGAATTCGTTTTTTAAACATTCCGTGCGAGAAAGCATCAACAGTGACATCGACGACTCGTGAGATATCCAATATTCGAAATGGAAATATTTCGGAAAAATGTGAAACGTCTCACGAATCGTTGATAGCGGCATGCGCGAGAACTTTTATCCTCTTAGCACGAGGAAGTTCCAGAGAAATCTAGATTCACCCTATAGAATCCCCATTACACCATAACAATTCAGGCAAAAGAAACGGAAAAGAATAGATCCGATCTAAACCGTGAAGCGTGCATCTCGGTTAAGCAGACGGCGCGTGAAAGATTTTTAATTGCATCCGAGCAAAGCAATCGTTGGAAGTCCGTCCTTCGGCTCGCTTCGAAAGGCACACTCGCTCGAGTCGTCTCGCGCGTGCACGCTGCACGCCAGTTGCACCATCCCGCTGTAACGTTCTCTCCAGACAGATACGCGTCTTCTTGCGGACGGCCTGCTAATTAAATGACGATTACGTCTCTCTGATATGTATAATCTTTTTTGATTCGCGCAACTACCGCCAACTTTCTATTTCGTGTTCCACCGGTCCCACGCCACCGACTACTGTTCCCGTTTCAATCTCCTTCGAGTTTGTTGCTTCGATTGACCAAGATATTAGCACCGAAATACTACAATGCCCAGATGCTACAGTACTTGGATTCTACTACTCTGAGATACTGCGACGCAGGTGCTGAGAGACTGAGATTCTATAATGTTGAGATACCAGAACTTAAAGCCAAGTGTCTTCAAATGTCTACATCCGAATTCGATGTATCAAAAGCTTCTTACATAACTCCTGTATATTACTTTCGTCGTATGTTATTGTCGGAAAGAAAAGAAGCATTACAAATTAACAAGGATCTCTGAAGGTCTCATAAAGGAACGCTAGCCAGCTAACCTGGTTAACGGTACCATAAATACGCGAGTGAACGTATTCTCTTCTTTATATTCCTGGCACGAGCGTAGGTCCCCTTGATATCTTTGTTACAACTACTTCACAATGCTGTCCTCTGATCATCTGCATAACCTGTTCGATGCTTGGAAAACAGTCATTGAAACCAGCTGAATTTATCGTCCAAAAGGAATTAAACGATTAATCTTCCGGTTATCTATTCTTACAAATATAAGATACTTTATCTTAAAAAAAAATTTGATGTCCATTGTTGAGAGAAATCGTAAATATGAAGTTCGAGCAAAGAATATTTAATGCGGCAAATACATCAAGTAAAATAATTAATCCGTACTGGTTTGCTGTATCATTGTTCTTCAAAAGCGTACGACTTTCTCCCAGTGACCATTGGATATCGTTGTAGCCCGAGGGACGATAATTAAGTTATCGGTATTGTCGATCTATTTATCGAAACCGTTTAATTTCCACGTAACTTTCCCTCGATCGACTTTCCTACGCTTCTCTAGATCGCGCGGGAGCACAATGGAAAGAAATGTGCTTGTACGACGGAAAGAAACAACAATGAATGGAGATCGCGTGACTCGGCGCATTAAAGTCTCTTCGAATCGCGTTTTATTTGAAAAGCATACGTGTTACAAAAGTTTACAACGCCGTGTGACCTAACAAAACTTGCGAGAATTATTTATGACAAACTTCTGAAAACTTGTAACATGTTGGTATCAGAAACGAGAGAGTTTTATCGTTGGCCAATAAGCTTTCCGTTAACGCGTTACAAGTACCATTTTACGGTACTTTGGTGTTATGAAATCGTGGCGGACTTTCTATGCCTTCGTATCTAAAATTTGACACGCAACTCTCTAACAATAGTTTGAACAAGTAATTATGAAGTATTTCGCCGCGATCCGTTGATAATGGAGTTTGAAAAAGTAGTTCGTCAAGATAACAGAATAAGTGGTACGATGTTCGAATAATTCCGTGTCGTTGATTTAATTGTTGGTACACCAGGTATACGAGATATTACTCAAGCTTCGTGCACGCGAGCACACCTATTACATTCCGTTCGCGTAGAACGCGAAGATCGCCGTAGACGAGAGGGCAGAGAACTCTTCTAGGCTTCGGGTCTGCAACTCGTCTTGTCTTTAAATCGATCACGGTTACTTCGTTGCCTAGAAACTGTTTGCTATCGCTTCTGCTATCGTGCTTTCTACGAATATGGATGAAGTGCATGCATATCGAAGAAAGTTTGTAACCGTTCCGCTGCGGCCATTATTCGAACAAAATCGGTTGCTTAAAGTACGAACGAAATACGAAGGAAAGAATATGAATTCATACGTGAAAGTGTTAACAGTTGCTGTCTCTTTGCTTTCTCGATGGAAAAAGATAATGTGGTACGCGTTAAAAATTCACGACGTAAGCACGTAATTGCATACATCCCTTTAATTATATGGTCGCGATACTGAAACGTGTCGTTGGAGTCATAAAGTCACGTTTGTAACGAGCGAATAGGTAGATTGAACTCGGAGACTTGAACGCCCGCATGCGAACGATCTTTCGTAAATAGATTACTTTGCGATTTCTATTCGAAAGCATCGGTTGCAATGGAAAGCGTATTTAGAGATTTTATAGAAAGAAAAAAAATTCAAGCGAGATGTAGCAAAAGATTACAGAATTGCACACTGGTTTATCAAATTTTGAGGAAGGTTGCTTTTCCTACAAGTCCCTCAGCGTATTTATGTTTAAGAAAAGACCTGTTTGCTGTATAAAATATTAAATCGATACATTTATACAGGAATGCGACGTATAATGAATTACAATGCGCATCTCTTAGATGTTGAAATGAGTTCACGATTTTGTGAAGCATTATATTGCACTGTCGAACGAAGCAGAATCGATAAACTGGTTGCATCATGAACACTTGCGGTCGATTCCATTATTCAATCTCTAGATTTATTCATCTAAGGTAAAGTGTAGTTGCTCAAAGCAGCGAAGTGAAAGCATAATATCGGATCACCCAGATATGGCTGACGGTTTTATTCGTTTAATTAGAAATACTTTACAAATGACGCGTAAAAGTTTTGAACGTAACAGAAATTTCTTTAATAAGAACGCGTAAAATACTGGAATCTTGTTGAATTTTCTTCCGTCAACTCGTCGAACGAAATAGTACGTTGCCCGATTACCTAGAAACCAACAGGTTGACAGATGGAAATAGCAGCGGTCGGACAACGATTCGATTTGCCTTTCGCATTCCGGTATCACGAGCTCGTTCTTCCTGCGATGGGAACCGTTAGTTTCACGGGACCAATGCTTATGTTAGTATCTCCGATACAAAAAGAGTAGAACAGAAAATAGAAACAATGGGCGGCGATCGAACGCGAAGATACTGCTATAGAAAGTCTGAAAAGTTCTGAATTTACTTTTGTTTACAGTTATTAGTGACTTTGTTGCGTAGCTTTTTAAGCCTTCTAATTAGCAGTTGGAGCTTGATGACTTTGTACAGTGAATCGTACAATTTACTAAGTAAAATAATAAATTTCTTCGTTAACTGCTCATGCTCCAGTTGGCTACTTCGAAATAAATAACGAATACACAATGCTTCCTGGATGTTCCTGCGAAATCTTCGACAATTGTCTCGAACGAAGCTTTGTCTTCAACCTACGGTAATCGTAGGAAACGAATTCCTCTTCGAGGCGTAGCCTCTCGCTCTTAAAATGCCACCATTCCAAACCCTCGCTTTTCATCTTTAACAGAACTCAATCTCGTGGAACACCGCTCGAAAATTAAAACCGCTATTTTTTCTCACATTCCAGCGAGACAGGTTTTCGAGCGTTTCGAAAGAAGTCGTGTGTCTCGAACCGATCGAATAATAATCGACTGATCAAATGCGTTCTATACTTCTCAAATTTACTAGGACGTTCAATTTTTATGTTCGATGTTAATATCCAAAATGTGAGAACATTTAAAGATCGATGATAGAAGAAAGAAAGAGTTCAATTATGTGGCTACATTAGAAACCGTTATTTACTTGATCTAAGCAGAATGGAAGGCGAGCACGCGATATCGAATCAATCGCTTTCAATCAGAAGGCAAAAACCACGGAGGAGCATCGTTCAGTGGCGTGCAGAACGTAAAAGTCGCTTGGAAAAGTCTGACGAGTGAAATGTAACTGGCGAAGCAAAAGCATGCTACGTGTGCATTTGTGGGCCAAGTAGCGCACGACACTGGCTGGCTTCTTCCGAAACACTTTTGCCACTGCTCGATAACTAAATTTTCTCTAATGAATTATTCCGAAGCACTTTTTCTGCCTCGTCCGTCGACGCGCGACCAGAAAAAGGGCGTTGACGATTTTCATCGTCCAATTTCAATATTGCCAGAGTAAACGATCGAAATTATAGGTCGTTTCGAAAGCAATTGTTAACGAGTCATCGGTCGTTGAGAAAGAAAAGAAAAAACGTAAAGTCACCGCGGCGAAACGTGATGTATGAAACGAAATAATGATCATGCGGCGAGTAGCAAGTAGGATAGAATACCGTATGGTCAAAGGCATGCTCGGTGACCGACTATTTGAACCTCCCTCTTTCTCCTCGTCACCTTGCCTTCAGGCTATTCCGTTCAGTTTCTGTTTCTCTTTTTTTCTCCACCTTTCATTTTGCTCTCGAGCCTTTCGTACGAGTCCTCGCCGTGTAAAACACCAGCTAATTCTGGAGCAAACGACCATTAACCGATTATTTCACGTTATCGAATAGTCGCGATACCGAAACGCTGGAATACCAGAAACTATGACTTCTTGATATAAGCTTAACGATTGGAAAGTATCTTCCGTAGATAGTTTACTGTCCGCTCGTCGAAAAGTCTATCGCGATTTGTTCTTCGCTGCTCGAAATCTTTGAGCGCTCGTTTTCCTGTCGGTCGGCCGATTTCGAGCTCGAAACGCCTCTTAAATCTTCTCTTTCTTCGCGAGGAAGCATATAACGCTGCCTGAAAAGGATGGTCTGTTCATGGTACAAGAACGATTACGCGGAACGAAAATTCGTTTACTGGCTTCGAAGTGCTAAATTTCTCTCCGTTTAGACACGACCGTGTTACGTAGTGGAACGTTCCTCTCGTTGCCGCGTTTACATCACCTTCTACCTGGAAGTAACTACGGTTCAAGGTCTTGCCGAGGCTGTTCGAGGGGTTTCTTCTAGCTTATGATCGAGAATTCCGAGAAAATAGAATTTTATTATTATTACTGATATACGTTCTTACCGATGTTTTTATCGCTAATGCAGATTTTCTTTTTTCCCTAGTATACGGGTATAATTCCGAGAATGTAAATGGAAATTTTATTGCCCGAGACTTTTTTGATTCCATGTTCTCGGAAGGAACGCAATAAATTATTCGATTAATTAATATTTACGAACTCGCTGCAATTATCAGTTTAGTATCGTGCGTTAAATAAATCTTCGTCCGTTCGTTTCATCTACGTACGAGTATCTTAACACCGAAAGTGTTATGACGTTAATCGGTTTGATCTGTAATTGCACGGTGGTGCACGTAAGTAACAATAAGTTAGGTTCGCACAACGAAACGCGCTGTCCACGGTGAGTTCATGGACGACGCGGTGTTTCCGGCGACGAGCAAGCCGAGTGAAGATCCTTTTAATGTACGATGAGTAATTCCGCGTTCCACGACTACCTTTCTTGGATATAATCATTTCGAGACCGAAAGCAACCTGTTTCTCGACATACGGAAATGGATGTCGACGATAACGCTAGAAACAGCTGTTTCCGGTCTCCCATTCCTGCGCTCACCGAAAAACGATTTTTCGTCGGAAGAGTATACACTTCTAATGCACAACACGGATTTGAAACGGTATGTAGGATAATCTGTAAGTGGTTATTTTAAAATAAAACATAATTTTACGGTTCTGGGATCGAGCGACTTAAACCTGCCGCGAAACTCGTTCGTAACGAGGATTAGAAGCAGCTCGATGATGTAAGCAGCATCGAAATACCGTTCGTTGCAATGAATCGTAATTACCAAACATTACCGGCATATACCGTAACTTTAGAACCATAATCCTGACCAAACGGTACAGATTCGCGGTGTGCACGCGATCGTCTGTAAAATATCGGTATCGTTGCACTGGACGTCCTTCGATCCGATGGATCCTTTTCACCGTTCTCTCTCCCGATAATACCGAATCGCGATCGCGAGTATTAATTGCTTCGTGCTAAATACATCGATCGCCGATGACCCTCATCACCCGTTACTTTACATTCGTTTCGTATTGCACGAAGCGGAGGAAATAAAATTTGCATCGTAAATAACATAATTGTGTGTCTGATTACACACCGTAAACGTATGATCGATATAACGGTAGTAAGGTTATAGGTTTGAAATTTAGTATCGAAAGAAGCGAGTTGTAAGAAGTTAAGAAAGATAAGGAGCCGGATTTCTTTTTCGGGCCATCGTCGATATGTATGCACACGGCAAGCAGAAAAGGAGACCGTCACCTACTTACACGTAAAATCGTTACGTACAGTATCTTGGAACGAACGGCCGACCACGTCAGGTGGCTCGCGATGACGAACATCGGCCTCGTGTGAACCGGTCGCACCGTTACGCTTCCCCATTCATGCGATGACGATTAAGAGTCATGGTCACCTCGACTTTCGATAGGGGTCGACCAATCCGGTTACATTCCTGCCGGGACGGCTGAAAAACCTCGGGAAAAATACCGAGCGAATGACAGCTTTGTTTAGAATCCATTATGCGCGAGTCGTCTCTCGCACGATTACGTTAACAAATATCCTCGAACGTAGTCGTTCGCATCTAAATAAAAAATGAAATTTACAGGTAGCATCGTCGAGGAGGTGCCAGGTGTCGAACCGCTTCGCAGCGAAAAGAACGAAACCGTCGAGCGGAAGTCCGAGTACCCTGCTAAAGACCAGGACTCCAAGACAACGGTAGAGCCGAAAAAGAAACCGGTAGATTTCAAGATCAAAACCGATCAGAAGTACCAGAAAGCTATCAAAGACGATGACTCGAAACGAGGAGAAACGAGCGAGCCCGCAACGACTACCTCGATGTCGACAGCGGAAGAGACTACGACAAAGTCGATAGACCTTGCATCCGTTACGATTCCCTTTCTGTTTCGTGGCGAACCTATCGTAACTCCGTCGAACGAAACGATCTTGAGAGAATTGTCGATGGTGAGCAGCTCCCCGTCGACGTTAGAGAACACCGGTAGCACTACAGAAGCTCGGGCAATGGAAGATACCGCTCAGTTTAGAGGTAGAGCCCTCAACATCTCGGCACCGGAACCAACGAACTCCTTGCACTCGAATATCACCGACCTGAGCGACGTTAGCATGGACGACGACGACAAAGAAGTCGAAGGTAATTAATTTGCAGCAGGATGTTGATCGACCGATTACGATAACTCTGGGAACTCGTAGTTGTCAGATGTTGAAACGCTTTGCACTTGTACATTCGTGTGCAAACGATGACCTCTTTTAATAGGCAAATGGTAGGAAGCAGTGATCTATCCTCCATTCTCTCTTATCCTGAATACCCTTAATTTTCCTATTATCCTACTACCTTAGACAGTATCTAGGTAAAAATGAGAATGATAGGTACGGTGCCATGGTAGGATATGACGATTGGGATGAGATGATGGAGAAGAATACCTACCTAATTAAATTCTATTGCTGCAGGTGGCGAGTACGTAGCTCTTCACAACGAAACTGCCATAAATATCTCTTCGACGCTACTGCCAATGGTGACGGTATGCGTAGAGGGAAATCATACTTATTCGATCGGCGAGAAGATCGTGAGGGGCTGCGAGGAAAAATGCGTGTGCGGCGAGGGCGGCGTGGCAATGGATTGCAAACCACTTTGCAGTTCGCCATATGTCAGGGCAAATAGAGGAATCGAGGACCCGTTGTGCCAAGAAAAGCTGGTCAGCGAAGAACCGTGCTGCGCGATTTTGGTCTGCGCTGCTGATTCGGGTGAGTCTCGATTCGCCGTTGTTACGCTGAAAGTTTCGAAAATCTTTGGATTCTCGAAACAATCAAACGTATGTTGAGATTAAATTACTCGCTATCGTAATGTAGCACCCGAACCGGAGGAAACTTGCGTGTTCGGGAACAAAACAGTGATGAGAGGCCAACGCGTAGAGGATGGCTGTTCGAGAATCTGCATCTGCGAAGCCGGCGGTAACCTAAAGTGTCAAGCGAGGTGTCCACCGAACGACACGACCTCCGCGACCAATCAGCACGACCGTTGCGTTGTCCTCACCGATCCAAGGTACCAGATCCTCGTCGCATTTAAATTTGTTAACGTCAAGGTTCATTTAAAGTTCCTTTCGTCTTCCTTGTTCAGAGACTCTTGCTGCACGATCACCCTCTGCGACGTCACTCTAGGTGACCACGAGATTAGGCCGGAAACCTCGAACGACCTGACCGTGAACCTTACCGACGTGAAGGTCCTCAATTCGACGGCGATCAAGCTAAAGTTGTCCGCGAAGAATCCTCAAGACGTCACCGTAGAAATATCCGACAACAATCACGTGTGGAGGCAGCAGAAACCCGACAGAGGTGAGAGCCATTTACGAGGTGGCTGAAATTTATCGAACCGATCAACTTACTCAAAGATAAACGCTTTAACGCAGAGGGTATCTTGTCGAATTTGGAACCCGCCCACTCGTACTATGTGCGAGTGATCGAAGGAAGTCGAACAGGCCCGGCCCTGCAGGTCTTTCTTCCCGCGGAAGTGGTCAAGACGAACATCTCGGACAAAATGGCAGACAAAAATTCCTGCAGCCACATGGGGAAAACGTACAAGATGGGAGCCGAATGGTACGACGAATGCATTTCTTTCTGCACCTGCGTAGAGGGTGGCAAGACGGAGTGCTTGACCATCGAGTGCCCCACGGATTTTGGACTGGACGTTTTGGACCCCCACTGCTTGGACTGGGAAACTGTACCTCCTAATTTCATCCCAAAACCCCCACACTGTTGTCCTCAGGTAAAGCTAACTTCCTCTATGATACGATGATAAAATGATAGGGATCAGTCAATGACTTCTTCGAATTCGTGTTCTTCGCCGTCATTGTTACATAATTAATTTAATGACGTTTCAATTAATTAAGGTCTAAGGAGGTAATAATCGGTGCAACATTTACAGGAAGTGCGATGTAGAAATAATGGGTCTTGCAATTACGAGGGCAACATGTACGACAACTGGAGCGAGTTGCCCACGAACGTGACCGGATGCGAGAAACGATGTTACTGCGAGATGGGAAATGTATCCTGTCAGGCTGCTTGTCCACCGGTCCCAGCATTGCCACCTGCGACTCTGCCTTGTCCTCAGTACCAGGTTGCCTTGATGCATTTGCCTAATGACGAGTGCTGTCTGGAATGGGGTTGCAGTCATTCGTCCAGTCAGCTACCAGGTAAATCCGTACTGTAGCGATAAAAGAAAGTCTCCCTATGTTCGCTAACGAGAGGAAGAGTACAGCGATTTTCCTTCTCGCAGAATGGACGTACAGGGTACCGAAATTGGAAAATAAGCTTGTTCCTTAGGAACGACTTAATATCTTTGTGTCCGTGCACGGATGCTCTGTACGTTTATCAGCGAATCTTTGAAAAGTAGAATTTCTCGAGTCGTTAACGTGGTTTCCCTGGTGGCGGTGACACTACCGTTGACGTCCTTGTAGTTTTCTTCGAGAGACCGCGAAGAGGATCCGATAGACTGGTTTTGGGTAGATGGTGACGCTTACTGTCCCGCGGACCTGACTGGAACTTTCCAGTGTAAACGAAGTGTACATATTTTCGACTATACCCAGAAATTTTGCACATTTCATTGTCGCACCGTTATCATCGATTTTGGTCGCGTCGTCTGAACCGTTCGTCGCTAGACCACGTATCCTCCTCGTCCTAGATCCCTCTGTTTCGAGAAACGATGAAAAGACACGAATACGTGAACGAGATCCTTCCTACATCTAACATGAGACACCGTACACTGATTCGAACAGGAAGAGGAATGGCTGTAAATGCATGCTCTGTACGGCCGCGCTTGTACATACTTGGACCGTATTGCTGTAAATATGCATGAAGGATTACGGACAGCTCGTCGACACGATTCGATTCGACGACCACGTCTGTGACAATCGACTTTGCTTATTGCAGGAACGAACGCGACGCCCGCGTTCCCGGGCCCCTTAGCCACAGACACGTTCGATAGCAAAAGACCGACTAACAACTCGGGATCGACCGGGCCCAGCCAGCAACCGGGACGTGGGACTTCGAAAGACGTTGTTAACGCGCACACAGACACCACCACCACCCACGGACTCTTCCATTACCCCATGGACCCTGGACACCCCACGGTACCGTACAACGGACCGTACAGTCCCGACTACAAACCCACTCATCCCACCGTAGAGGATGTGTTCCACTTGTCTCCCCACACTGAGAAACCTCCGATGATCCCGAAAGAGAAGTCCAAGTCGAAAGCGGACGCCAAGAAACCGGTCGAGCCTATCGCGAAACCGCACAAAGACGACTACTTTCCTGGACCGTTGGCGCCGGATAAATTCCCCGACAAAAGCCTACTTCCCGTCAACGCGAACGAGAATCAGCCGTTCATACCGACTCCCTTGAATCCTAACAAGCTACCGCCCACTCAGAAAATCGCTCACCCGACGGATCATCCGCAATTCATTCCGCTGAATCCACACCACGATGGACCAGGATTCGCGAACGTTCCTCAAAACGGTTTTAACGCGCCGCTCGACAATTCCGCGACAGGCCCCGCTTATGTCCCTTCCATACTAGCCGCGGATGGTCTCGATCCTAACGTGATCGTTCCCGTGAATCCTAAGAAGAAAACTCCCTCGGGCGACGCGTTCGACGCGGACAAGGGTAAACATCCGGGAGGATTGGCCACTAGACCGAAACCGAATCCCGAACAAGAGGTACTTCCCGAAGAATTGTATCATCTTATTAATCTGCAACACCCAGGGTTGGTACAACTGGACCATAATCCACCCGAAGGCCACCCAGGCTTGTACGATATCCATCAACAGATATCGGGTCAGAAACACACGCCCAACAATCAAATTCAACCAGGGTACTTTGGTCCGTCGGCCAGTGGTCCGAAGAAGCCCATGAAGCCTCCTCACGTTTACACGCAAAAGAACGAAAACGGCCAGACGACGTATCACATTCACACGCCAGACATACCGAACACGCCACAGCAGATCGAGGAACTGTTAGCACACATCGGCCAACACGATCCTAATCCTGGACCGTTCCAACACTATCCCGGCCAACCGGCCATACCCCATAACGTGCCACCGGCTGCTCCGGCCGCTACTCTTCACATTGACGCTCACATACCGCATTCAGGACTCACGCACTTGAACCATCCGTTCGCAGCACAAACGCCCAACCAGTCAGGTTCGTCCCTGTTCGGTAAACGAAACTTTTATAGTTCATAGCAGGAGATAATTCGCGTAGATACGGTCGAGACAACTCGGGATCGACCGGGCCCAGCCAGCAACCGGGACGTGGGACTTCGAAAGACGTTGTTAACGCGCACACAGACACCACCACCACCCACGGACTCTTCCATTACCCCATGGACCCTGGACACCCCACGGTACCGTACAACGGACCGTACAGTCCCGACTACAAACCCACTCATCCCACCGTAGAGGATGTGTTCCACTTGTCTCCCCACACTGAGAAACCTCCGATGATCCCGAAAGAGAAGTCCAAGTCGAAAGCGGACGCCAAGAAACCGGTCGAGCCTATCGCGAAACCGCACAAAGACGACTACTTTCCTGGACCGTTGGCGCCGGATAAATTCCCCGACAAAAGCCTACTTCCCGTCAACGCGAACGAGAATCAGCCGTTCATACCGACTCCCTTGAATCCTAACAAGCTACCGCCCACTCAGAAAATCGCTCACCCGACGGATCATCCGCAATTCATTCCGCTGAATCCACACCACGATGGACCAGGATTCGCGAACGTTCCTCAAAACGGTTTTAACGCGCCGCTCGACAATTCCGCGACAGGCCCCGCTTATGTCCCTTCCATACTAGCCGCGGATGGTCTCGATCCTAACGTGATCGTTCCCGTGAATCCTAAGAAGAAAACTCCCTCGGGCGACGCGTTCGACGCGGACAAGGGTAAACATCCGGGAGGATTGGCCACTAGACCGAAACCGAATCCCGAACAAGAGGTACTTCCCGAAGAATTGTATCATCTTATTAATCTGCAACACCCAGGGTTGGTACAACTGGACCATAATCCACCCGAAGGCCACCCAGGCTTGTACGATATCCATCAACAGATATCGGGTCAGAAACACACGCCCAACAATCAAATTCAACCAGGGTACTTTGGTCCGTCGGCCAGTGGTCCGAAGAAGCCCATGAAGCCTCCTCACGTTTACACGCAAAAGAACGAAAACGGCCAGACGACGTATCACATTCACACGCCAGACATACCGAACACGCCACAGCAGATCGAGGAACTGTTAGCACACATCGGCCAACACGATCCTAATCCTGGACCGTTCCAACACTATCCCGGCCAACCGGCCATACCCCATAACGTGCCACCGGCTGCTCCGGCCGCTACTCTTCACATTGACGCTCACATACCGCATTCAGGACTCACGCACTTGAACCATCCGTTCGCAGCACAAACGCCCAACCAGTCAGGTTCGTCCCTGTTCGGTAAACGAAACTTTTATAGTTCATAGCAGGAGATAATTCGCGTAGATACGGTCGAGAACCGGCGGCGATCTCCGCTTCATTTTCTAGACCAGCGATGGGCAACTGTGCCTAGGATAATACTTTCGGGATCCGAGAAGTTGCCAGTCGAGCAATAAAAGTAAACTGTCTTAACTCCCAAAGAGTACACTCGGGCGTGGAGTATTAGGGAGGGCTTAAACGAAGTCTAAGACAAATCTACGAGGGTAAAGCCTAGGAACGTCCACCATTTTTGTCAGATTATGTAACCGTGCACCCCCGCGAGCACAGTTGTCCATCACTGTTGTGTAGGTCAGACTTGCACAACTCTTCCCTGTTAATTGGCAACGCTATCTCGAATCTTGATATTACAAATCGCTCGCTCTAATGTATAATACTTGTCTTATTTGTTAACAACAACAACGTAGTCATTGTTCTGTCACTGATCTAACGTGTACACAGTGATAACTAATACATTATAATAACATGGAGCTACTCTTGATGAACTTTAGGCATGGAACATAACGTACCATCAGGTTTCCCGTTGCCTGGTACCATCCCAGGATTCCCTGCTGCTTCTTCCGCGGACGAAGTCACCGTACAGATCCTCGAAGCCCTGGATGAGCACACCGTTCGTCTGGTTTTCACCGTTCCACAAGTTTTGGTCGGGCTTCATGGCCGTGTCGAGCTGCGATACACCAACGATAAAACGTACTTTGCTTCGTCCGTCTAATACCGCAACCATGGAATTTATTTTTTGCTCGAAGTCTATCGATCCCTCGAGATAAAATTGTAATTCTTTACAATTCTTCAGCAATCGCGATTTTGGGCAAAGAATAATTCTACGTGAGAAGTAATACAAATGCAATAAACTCTGTTTGTCCCACAGAAACTTTGACGTCTCCACCTGGAAGTCCCAAGTATTCGCTCCTCCGAATGACCTGATCGCGACCCCACAGCTAGAGTTCGAATTAGGCGATCTGAAGCCATCCACCGAGTACAAGGTGAAGATCACGGTCAAGTTAAAGGATCTGGCCAACAGTCCTACCAGCAAGATCTACAGCGTGAGGACATTGGAGAAGAGAGCCGAGGCGACCACGCTACCACCTCAGATACCGATCGACGCTGAACTTCAAGCAACAGAGGTCAATTCTACCTGGGTCAACGTAATGTGGAGGACGTTTACCGAATACGAGTTGCAGTTCATCGACGGTGTTCAGCTAAGGTACAAGGAGCAAGGAAACAAGATGTACGCTGCCACACCGTTGATCCACAGGGCGGTTCAGAATTACGTGATCGAAAATTTGAAACCGTCGACCACTTACGATGTTGGTATTTACTTCGTGCCATTCCCGGGGCAATTGACGGAACTAATCAGCGAGAAGACGGTGAGTTACCTTTAATTACGAATGACAACGGACAAGAACCTGTTTTTCAAGTTGTCTCTTCCTTTCCTTCGAAGATTCGCGTGACCACGTCGATGGAACCAGACCCGTATTCGTTCGACGTCAAGGTAGAAATTAAGACGATCAAATCAACGGATGTGGAGGTGACGTGGAGCGGAGTGCCTTACCCAGAAGACAAATACGTGAACATCTATAGGGCGATCTATCAAAGCGACAGCGGTAAAGAGGATACGAGTACGTTCAAGATCGCCAAGAGAGATTCCCACCCGAAGACCGTGATCAGCGACCTGAAACCGGGCACCAGGTATCGTCTGTGGCTCGAGGTTTACTTGACCAACGGAAGGATCAAGAAAAGTAACGTACAGGACTTTGTTACCAAGCCTGGCATACTCCTACCTGGTACGGTCTCTCATCAAGGTATGCAAAATGTGTAGTAAAGTTAACATGTTATACATCGATAACTGCTTATTTTGTAATAAATGTGTGCTTCGGAACATTTGTAATTATATCACGCCATAAGTATTTAGTATTTTCACTTTTCAGCAGGAAAGCTTGCGTCGCTCCCCCTTCACGAAAGTGATTATTATGGGCCCTTGGTAGTAGTGGCCATTGTCGCATCTCTAGCGATCTTGTCGACTCTAATTCTTTTGATGATGCTAATGAAAAGAAGAACTAGCAGTAAGGCTGACATATCCTCCCGTAAAACCACGTCGGCGTACGACAATCCTTCCTACAAGGTAGAATTACAACAAGAGACTATGGGTAATTTATTCTCATTGTTCTAATACGTTAAACCGATTAATGGCTTATATATCACTTTTCGATATTCGCATGCATGAGAGCTGCTCTTTATAATCGCGTATAATTGATTGTACAACGAGGTTCATCGTTTTTTTTCAGACCTGTGAGGACGCTGTGAACGGAATATCGAACGGTAGGAACAAACATTCTGATCACGAGATGGCCACCATCAACGTTAAAGAGACCGCTTGAGGTTTAATAATTTATTAAATTCTATTTATTTCTACGTTCGTTGAGTCCTTCCATGTTATCGTCAAAAATATTTCTCGAACGATTATACAACGGACTTGCTACGCGAAGGACTGATACCAGAAAGTGCCTGAGACTACTATTGGCATAATTAGAACTTTCGTGTAGGATGGGTCAGGTGGACTTGTTTCTCCATGCTCACCGAGTACAGTACATTTCCATAGGGAAAATGGCAATGCGAAAAGAATTTTTCAACTTTCATAATTCCAAATCTCGTCATTTCCAAATTCCCAAGTTCCGAATTTTAAGAAATGAAAATCCTACCATCCATTTCCATTGCTACTTTTTTTTTAAGGAAAAACCTGCTGTACTCGGTGCTGAACCTACTCCAATAATTTCGGACGAAGGAGCTCAGCCCACCTTGAACCCATCCCAATTATGCCAATGGCAATTACTAAAAAGCGATATGCAATATGAACAGCGCAATAAGAAACGTAAATCGTTTAACAACTTTCGATAAGTGGTAATGTAATTAAAACTTGTACATAGCGTTATCGTGCGACGTTAACGATCGCGTTTAGATGATAAGGTAACGATTTAAGAGGAGCAGAGTTCACGAAGGAAATATCGTTCTACATAGATAACGGCGAATGCGAATTCGTAATGGTTCCCTATACGTGCATTATTGATCCATACGCGTTTATTTTATGTATTTAATGTATGTTAAGTCGTAAACAAGCAATCTCATTGGATCACAATGATTCAGTTTGCATTTTGTACAGTCTGCATTTACAGTGTTAGAAATTTATATGATAAATAAGGTATATTACAATGTTTGAGTCCGAATCGAATAAAATTGTTTATAAACTATGAAAAGGATTTTATTATCAAGGAATCTGGCACATATAACAATGTTGTACACTTATTCTAGAAACTACCTTGCCATACGAAAGACAACTTCATGCTTAGCTTATAATCTAGATTCTAGAAGATACAAAAGTTACGATGCTAGACATATAATTTGTTCTTATAATTGAGTAGTAAAACAGAATGCTGTCAAAACTGGATTCAGGCATGCAAAAATATAGAGAAGTTTAAAATAATTTCTTCAATTCAGATTCCATTTGCAGGGGATCAGTCGTAGGTGCGTATCTAGACACAACTTTCCCTTCTTTGTTTACGATAAATTTAGTGAAATTCCATTTGATACCATCTGTCACAAATCCACCTGCTTGTGTCTTCAACCATTTCCATAGAGGATGAGCATTGTCTCCATTAACATCAACCTTTTCAAAAACATCAAAAGTGACATTGTATTTTTTGACAAAATCCAAAATTTGTTCTGCAGATCCTGGTTCTTGACCACCAAACTGATTAGATGGGAATGCAAGAATCCTTAATCCTTCTTTCTCGCTGTATTTTTCGTACAATTGTACAAGTTCTTTGTAATTCGTGTCAGTTAGTCCACAGTTGCTGGCTACATTAACAATTATACAAACATGACCACGATATTTGTCTAATGACACATCATTGCCCTTAATATCTCGAGCATGAAAATCATAAATTGTCGTGGCTTGAGCCCAATCTTTGTCCTGATTAAAAAATGCTCGTGTTGTAGCTGGACATTGTTCCTCCTTGTTTTCACACTCTTCTGCTATGGCACTGCAGAAAAGCAGTACTGTCAAAACCACTAATTCTAGAAAAAAAAAGTAACAATTTTAAAATATAAAATTAAGCAATATTTTATGCTTCAATTTTGTTAAAACAAATAATTTCGAATGATAGAAGTGCTTGACACGTTTGAATACCTAGATGTCACCGTTAATAAAAAGAAAAAACGCGGGAAAGATGACCTCGAACTGATTTAATACGCACTTGATTGTCGATGAATAAATCGTATGATAAACGTTATGAAATTAGAAGTTATAATGAAATTTAAGAAAAGTACTTACTCAACATTTTGCTTCGAGAATATTACCGCACTAATACTGTTTATAAAAAACAAAATTGAATATTATTTCCTGTAAAATTAATCACGACCATGAATTACTATAACAATGTTCGTTAATTAAAACGATTGAAAAAAGAAATAGAAACAATAGTTACCGGTCAACGAAGGTATTTACGCTTTGACTTGTTGATTGCAAATGCGTGGATCTTTCCTTTGTCCAGAGTTTTTAAGATTCGCGAAACGCACTGACCTCTGTCCAGCGTCCTTGAATTAGTCTCATCATGGATTCTCGAATGCTCTCAAAATAAAGCAACGAAATTTTACCTTTTATTTCAATCTGTTTTTATTATAGTAATTACGATTCCATGGTCTATATAGGTGATATTATTCGGTTATTTATCTCAATTTAGGTTTTAATACCAGATTTGAAATATCCATACTGCGAAATAAAGACTGTGATTTATTCTTAAAATTTATATGTTTAATTGGAGTATTCTATACGCGTAATAGTAAAAGGAGATATTATGTTATTCTGAAATAATTAATTTATTAAGCGGGAAATACATGTCGGCAGTATTTTTAGATTCCTTCATTTGCGCATATGATCGATACTAACCGTCTCACGAACTCTATTTTCATACGCTACTTTTACACGTGATAATCATGTTACCTTGTATATAACAACATAACCTCGAAGACACGGAAGAATTCTAACCTATAAAGTTGTTATGGATTGTATTCGGAATCAAAAAACCGCACCACGATATCATATTCAGACACTTTGTTTAAACTGTCGTTTGTATTACAAACAGAATGGTAAGTACATAACAAATACTGTTATGCATAGTACGAAAATAATATTTCTTTTCTAATGTATATAATGTAATTGTAACTTTTTATTTCAGGCGCGAAACGCAGAAAAGGCTATGTAAGTATTCACAAATGTATATCTTAAAGTTTTGTCTTATTACATATTTGTTTCAATGTCAATGCTTCAACAGGACCACGCTTGCTCGCTGGAGAGCAGCTCAAAGCAACGAAGGGGCCAGAAAAGAACAAGAAAGGAGACCGTACCTAGCCTCCGAATGCAGAGATTTGCGGAAGGCAGAAAAGTGGAGAATGCAAATAATCAGAGAAATTGCAAAGAAAGTTGCACAGATACAAAATGCAGGTCTTGGGGAGTTTCGTATTCGAGATTTGAACGATGAAATTAATAAGTTATTGAGAGAGAAGCGGCATTGGGAGGCTCAGATAAAAGAACTAGGTGGTCCAGATTATTCCAGAGTAGGGCCACGTATGTTAGATCATGAAGGTCGTGAGGTAAGAAGATATTTCTATATCTTGATAAATGAAAGTGTCTTTTTTACCAGAATAATTGTTACGACAAAATATTTAGGTACCTGGAAATCGTGGCTACAAGTATTTTGGAGCAGCAAAGGAGTTACCAGGAGTCAGAGAATTGTTTGAACAAGAACCACCACCTCCTCCGCGTAAAACACGCGCAGAATTGATGAAGGACATAGACGCGGACTACTATGGTTACAGAGACGACGACGATGGAATTTTATTACCTTTGGAACAGAAAGCTGAACAAGAAGCAAGAGAAAAAGCGGTAGAGGAATGGTTGGCGCAAAATGAAAAGAAGTCGGAAGAGGAAGACGAAGAAATTGAAACGACCGCGCAAAAATCGATACCCTCGCAGCAAGACATACAGGAGGCTTTGCTTGCAAGAAAAAAGCAAGAACTATTAGAGAAATATGTACTTTGACAGGTTTTATTCCTTTTTCACTTTTTTTTTCTTTGCCTTCGATAACAACTATTTGTAAGTTTATTTGTTTAATTGTATTAGAGTACACTTTTATAAAACGCGACAGATATAATAATAATTATCATTATTAATTTATAAGTAATAACATTGATTAAGGTAATTATTTTGTGCAGTAGACGTTCAAACTTCAATTAATACTTATTCGAGAAAGAGTGCTGTAGATAAAATATAGATAAAAATCCAACGGTAGTCTGTTTATAATCCTCGCGATCCTTACTTTTTTTGTTTCTTTGTTTGTTCCTCTTTTTTTTTCATTTTTCTCATTGACAGTGTAAGCACCGAACACTCGAGAAAGCGACACAATAGAATAGAACATCGGAGAATAAGAATTACGAATATCTTCGCTGTATACATTCATACTTGCCAAATCCTATACAATTAAGCTGTTGCGTATCAAATAACTGATAGGCAAAAAAGCATTTACAGTACATCGATTTGAAGCTTAAAATTGAATGAAAACAACTATATAAACGTTACATTAATATTCTTAATAAAAAATGACTGATTATAGATTACACCTAAACATGTATCGAAGTGAAATACTCGAAAAGTAAGATTTTAATGAAAATACTTTCTAATAAAATCTATCAGTGTTTTAATATAACTACGTGAACCAAACTATACAATAGTCTAGTGAACCGAGTACACAATACAACATTACTAAATGCAGATTTTGTGAAGAAATCAGCCATTTGATCTACAACAACCTAACAGATAATAACAAAAATGAAGAATGTAATCGTTCCACGCATTCTTTTCGCCATCATCAGATATTTCAAGCGTTTTCTCGATCAACAATTCTTCGTTCACGTTCCGCAAGAAAAAGCCGGTCGTATGCTTCGATATACCTCGATATAATTACAACTATATCGTAACAAATTGAAAACAGTCAAAGGCGTAGAAATTACCCTGAAAAAAGCCCTACTCGTTAATTAATTATCGTAAATACTTCGAAAAACTTTCTGATCCTGTTGGTAATCGCGTGCGATCGATCAATCCACGAGAACACTAACATACGCGTTTTTTTTTTCGTAACAAACATTTTCTCGAATCCCTATTTCGACATCGTGTTGTTTATAAACAGACTGTACAATATATAATTATGTTACCAGGACTCAGAAGTCGAAAGTATCCTAATAAAATGCTAGGTAAGATGCTACGGATTTAAAATTTACCAAAAGTAGAATTATGCGAACGCATACGCGCTAGCGATGCGTGGATATTCGAGATTAGGAACTCGGATCGAGAGAAATCGGGAGAAACTTGTAAGGCAGAGGTGTGCTGGGTATCCTTTAAAATCACTCGCGATTTAGAAGAGTTTACCCTTAACTTTTGGCCTGTTATCCGATTTTCTCCGAACCCTATCCAAAACTCGGATACCCATCACATCGATCTATCCGTACATATGTTCCTAATACACACTTTTTCTCGTTCTCGCGGAGCGTCTTTCAAAATCTCTTGAACTAACGCAACGAGGCTACGATTTATCGAGTATTTATTATTGGCGACGTATTCTATAATCGAAAAAGGCGTTTGTCGTTGAGATTGTGTTAAGAAGAGAGCGTCTTATCGTAAAAAGAACGTTAGCACGCAACACCGCCGTTAGCGGGAGCACTTCGCTGCCGTGTGTCAACGTTAGAGGACTTCGCATTTAACATATTCGTAGTTTGTAAAAATGAAATAAACCGCTTGGTATTATTTTTGTTCTCGGTCAACGAAATACGATTCTAGGATCTAGACGCTGACCAGGCGAAAACTATAACTACGGTTGCATAAGTCGAGTTTCGATTGGCTTTGGATTACGCTTAGGCTAGATTTTCTAATCCGACGCAACGTCAAAAACTCTAAACGCGTAAATTCCCGTAATCGAATGTTCGATTTTTGTCCCGGATCCCGTAAATTCTATCGGCGGTCCTGCTTGCACGTGAACAAGGGACGATTTCATACGTACACGTACCGAAAAATGTGGGAACTTCTGAGCCCTTGCAATCGCGTTACACAATGTGTCTACGTACGTAAACGTGAGAATAGTTCGAGCATGGATTAATCGTCGTTTGAAATTACCTAAAACGCTAAAGCTTGAAAAAGTCAAGCGTTTACGATTCACAGCATCTGTTTGTCCGTTGATCAGTCGTCCGCTTCGCCCGGTAACCAATTCCCTTCTAATTAGAAACGCGTTCAAGGTGATTACGTCTCTCTATCTCTATCGTGTAACCTCGTGATCGAGTGTATGCATCCTAAATGTTAGTATTTTAAGTTAATATCAACTCTACGATCACATCTGCGTTTACGGGGTGCGTTTACTTTTTTTTCTGCGAGTTTATTGTGCGTCATTGAATTGTGAATCTATCCTCGTATACGTTCCTCGTTTTCGCCATTCGTCGTTTCACCGTTTAACCCCTCGAGATCAGCCGATATCGTGCACGCGCGAACATTCAAGACACGAGGTGATAACCGTTGAAGCGTTGCGTCTATGCGATGATAGCAACGATGATCTAAGGAAATCTAGGATCTTCGATGAAATGCTTTATCGAACCCTCTAGTTGATACAGTATTGTCACTCTAAGTGGGTAAGGTTTCTATCCTTTTAAATGACAAGTCTTTATCGTCGTCAAGTTCCCGCCATTTTCTGAATACAGTTTATTCATGTAGCTTCGTTAGCTTAAGCGACAAGTCGTTATCCCCACCAGGTCCCTAATATTGTCTTTCTAGCTTACGAGTCGTTTCCAGTAATCGTTTCCAATTATGGCTTCCTAAGTAACCTGTCGTCGTCCCTACCAAATCCCTGATACTATCTTCCTAAGTGATAAGTCGTTATTCCCACCAGGTCCCTTTACAACGTTTCTGAAAGACAAATCGTCATTCCCGTATTAGGTCTGCAGTCTTCCTAAGCGACAAGTCATCCTCCCCGGCACGTACTCAACTTCGTATCGTCACTCGTTTCGTTTCTTCGATCAACCCGATAATATAGTATTGTCTCCCTGTGTGGCAAGTGGTCATCCCCTCCAAGTTTTCGATATTTCACGAGGAGTTGTAAAAGACCGAGTGACATGCCCATTAATTCTCGATATTCTATCAAGACGGAAATAAATATTGCCTCCCTACGTGGCAAACGTGTACTTTTGCTAGATACCTAGTATTCAACAGAAGCTAGTAGTAACGTAACACTGCCTCCGGAATCGACAAAACCCCGCTTCTGAAATATTCTACGACAGTAAAACGTTATTGCCTCTTCTGATGGTAAAATTTCCATTTCCCTAAGTAACGCGCGATCGTCGAGATCGTCTAAAGCCTACGATACTTCCATCTCTATCTCGTGCTATTTGTTATGGTCATTCTGTAGAATCGAAAACGAAGAAAGTTATGATTGGACGACATCGTCGAATCCAAATGCAAGGACAGCTACCTGCTTCGAAACTGAACCGTTTCCGATCCCGAGCCGCGATTCGAAGCAACTTTTCGCGGGTCCCTGGTCGAACCTAGCAACGAACCCCAGCCATACAGAAAGGCAGTACTGTATCATCGAAGAAAGTGACCGTACGAAAATAACGCGTCGCGTGCAATGAAAAGAAAAAGCAAAGATTTACAGAAGAGTTTCACAGCCTCGCGTTCCACTCGAAACATTCTCACTGATCGGCACCGTGCTCGAGAAACATCCACGAACAAGGGATAAACCTCTGACGGTTGCGCGTCAATCCATTCTCGAACCATGTGCTCGGAACAACAAGATTCGTCGTATACGGCTCATACATGGCATACGTACGTACGAGCAACCGTTGCGAATCGAATATCCGTTGAAAAGTGTCGCGGAGTCGAGAGGTTATAGGTTCGCTTATAGTTAGCTCGTCCAAAGGTGAACGACTTAGAGGATTCGTAACGGGGCTCTCGACTCGACTCCGGTTATCCCACGACGATTCTCCGTCGACGGACACGCGGCCTAGAAAGGGTGAAAGGCACAAAGTAAAAAATAAACGATTAAAGTTGGCTCAGGCACATATCGAGTCGGAGTTGGTTTCGCGGTCCGCCTGCTAATGTGCGAATTCGACTTTTTTTGGGACCGACGAAATGTGTATATGTGTCCTATGTGTACATGTGCGTGTATACACGTGTATAGAATAAGTGTGTACTCTTTGTTTCTTGTTGCATTATGTTGTTTTAATATACATACGTAATATGTATGCTGAAAACACCCTCAACTCCGTCCGGCGTATCAAAAAGGAGTGTACTTGGTACATCGATAAGAGTTTTGAACTCAGAGTTTTAGCACAGGTGCTTTTTAAAAAATTATGACAGCATCGTCTGATTCTCGCAGGTTCGACAGACCGACATTATTGACTTCTGTATATTCGGTTTTTCGGGCAGTACACGACGGCGATTCGATGGAAGCTCGCCGTTCCTCCTCGAGATGTATCCTGATCCGATCTCAACCATGCGTATTCACGGCCCGCGGCCTCTTTCTTTCTATCGATCGAACCGTATATACTCGTAAATCGTTAAACACGTAAAAATGTTTCTCCGTAACAGGAACTCGTTCATGATCGGTTGTCTCAAGGGCGTAGCAACGTGTGCCAGCGTTGAACTTGCGTCGGTTGTCTCGCGGCACGCATATCGTTCCAATGCTGAAGCTCCTCCGAACCGGAGCTGTTTAATCCCAAGCTCAGCCAACCGATCATCTCTCTTCCCTTCCTTCCCATTCCTCCTCTTCGTCGATTGTACACCGACAGGAACAACGTCACGTCTCCAAGTTGGAACAGAGCAACCTACGACGGAAGAGTAACGTTTACGAGTTTAGAATTTTCGGGGTCACCCCGCCATTAACGTAGGATAAACGGCAGCGCTTGCTTCTGGACCTTAGGAATTCCTATGTTTTCGCGTTTAGATCAGGTTACCTTTAGATCAGATCAGCTTACCTGGAACATGAACGTTTCCTTGTAAAGAGGATTGGGCTGAGCACGCTTCAAACCAGTCTTCGATCGTCCCATTTCGTGATCGTTGCTGTCCACGAGGGCGAGCTTAACATAAGTGTCGGGTGGTTTCGTGTCGTTTCCTCCACCTCCTCGAAAGTGTGATCCTTTGATTATTTCTACCGACAAACGTCCGGTCGTGCCGTTATATGCCAATCCAATCAAAATCTCCGCCACGCTTCCACCCTTCATGCTGCTACCGTAAGGAGGTACCGTAGGTGACGCGTACGATTGAACGGACTGCTGTGACCCCGTGGAATCGCTGCGGGTCAGACTGCTAGTTGTTCCCCAATCTTGTACCTTGAAATGTACGTCAGTTCGTGAGAGACGCACCTTGTTTCCAGATAGTAGTTAATTTTAAAAGAAGGAAGTTTACCGATGAAGAGGGTGGCGGTTGTAGCGTCAACCAAAGCGTCGTCTCGAGTTGAAGATTGATTTGATCGAAGGAAACTCTGGCTTCGCCGAGCAGTCTCTCTCGACGCATTCTTCCGCCCCATAGATACACTCTCAAGCGTACACCCATGGCGTTCACGTCTTCCGGATTGACACGCGGTAACAGGAAACTCTCCATGTATTGTGGACAGGTACCCTGACGTACCCGCGTCTTACGTCGTTGCTTTTTCGATGGCAAGAGTACCAGTCGTACTTGACTACCGCCTATGCCTTCCGGATAATTTCGTCCTTGTAACACGTGCACCTGATAACGGAACAAAAAGTCGCTTTAACTATAATTGTCCAGAGCATCGTTAAAGGAATTGTTTCTGAGGATATCGTACAGTCATCTCGCGCATAGGTGCGTCGTATAAGAATGCGACCTCCAGGCTACCCACTTCCTCCGTGACGGTGCCCATCGTTGCGATAACGTCGTTGGTCGTGGGTCCATTTTGCTCGACTTCTACCTCCTGTTCCCTGGCGTCGAGTAAAATACTCGAAGCTCCGACTTCTACCACGCACTAGGCAAATAAAATCAAAATAGCAAAATTGATGTCACGTACCGTAATCTTCTTTCGTTCTCGATTATGTTACGTTTATAATTCCGGCCGTTCAACGTATTAAAGAAAAATATCAGGAACATCGAAATAGTAAAGAACAGAATGTTATGGCACCGAGCGTCGCGTGATAAGATATGCAAGAATATCCGGGAACCAATTAACTATGCGTGTACCGGTCATGCAGATCGAGAACAGGATACTCGATCGCTCAACGCAGAAGAGCGTTTCGCTATGTAATATGTTTCGTTCACCTGCTGTTGATCGCTCGGCGAATGCTCCTCTGTGCAGCTGCTGGAGGTGGTACCTGCGTCTGAAAAATCGAGTCGCGTCAGAAAATGGACGATTATCGAAGAAAGAGGTGACAGCGTAAAAAATGGAAAAGATATAAATACCCAGGATGGTTGGTCCATCCTCCGCTTGGATAGTGAGAGTGTCCGGCGGTGGATGAGAATGCGAGTTCAATCGGCGAAGGGCGTCCTCTTCCGAATCGGAACTGGTCTCTGGATCCGAGTAGGAAAATGTCTTTCCTATCGGGTTTCGTCCGAAAATCAAATTAGAATCGTGTAAAATAACAATATCTTTGTACGAAAAAACAAAGCATCGAACGATTCTCTTGCGACCACAACGTACACTTACTTTGATCGAACGAAACGACTTTACGATCGCGCGACTTCCGAATGAACTTTATGATCGATACTCCGCAGAACCAAAACTCGCACGGACAAATTGTACTCGACATTTTTCGTGCACGTTCACACTGAATCGCGTCGTTGAGAACAATGAGGCGCGAGACTGCACGAACGTATCTTCCGATAAACTTATCATTGAATCGCTCAAACGTTCGTTAAATAAATCGTTACAAAAAAAAAAAACACACAGGTTGTTTCAACGATTAATTTTCACTAGAACATCGCGTAATCGGGTGGTGTCTCACTTTTCGTCGCAAACTTCCATTTAGTAGAAACAAACATCGCGTCCCAATTAGTCTCCGTAAATATGTAATAAGTAACTGTAACTAGACTACATTCTTCTGGCGAGTAATACCACGCGAACGAGAAGAAAATACCCAAAACTCGAAATAAAAGGTTCGTTATCGCCGAAGGGCTGACGGACTTTGGTAACCTACCTATGTTTTTCGCGATCTGAGAGGTGGAGCTATTGTTGGACTCGCAGAGGGGCACGCAAACGCCGCCGAAAAGGGTGCTGGTGGACGGCGGTGTGAAACACCATTTGCGGGACAGGTAGAGGAACAGTGCCAACAGAAGGACCACGAAGCCAGCTACGGCACCCAGAAATGCTGTCGCTTCCACAGGTACTGTAAATCGATCGTGAGAACCGTACGGTCAGACCAACCGCATTCTCTATATTTTATTCAACGAATACACGTACGATCGATCGAATGAATGAGAAACGTAAAAAGAAAAATGAAAAAAAAAAAGGGAGAACATGTTGCACGAGGAGGTAGCCAGAAAGATGATCGATGGCGCAAGAAGCATGATCGAAAGGGTTCTCTGTCCAGGCAGAAACGATTTATTCATCGGCCGTGGTAAAGGTGTTCACCCGGAACATCCTTCCGTCCAGTGGTAAGCGACGCGTCTTTCTATCGAGCGCGTTTAAACAACGCCGACACGTTGCGTCGTAATGACCTGGAATAATTAACCGTCGCTCCAGTTATCATGCGAACACGCTGGCCGATATTGCGCAGCTGGCACGCTCGATGATCCGCGCGTGTCGGAGAATCCCGCGGGAGACCGTGGTTCGCGACCCACTCCAGAGAAACGCGTCGCGACGAAAACACCGAGCACGGTTTTCCAGTTTTGCAACTTTCTTGTCTACGCGTTTGCCCGAATGATTATCGCTGGGTCGCGTTCTCCCTTTCTTTCTGAATGAAACAGCGGAGATGAAACGGAACGTTGCACGTCGTTCGAGGCGGTACATTTCGAAACGAAGCTTGGTTTGCGCATTGCGGATCACGCTCGTTCCGCGTCGAACGACGACGATTCGACTAATCGTTCCGAATTAGTCGGACCGGAGAACGACGCGATCGGTTCGCGTATACAGGTACAGAGGAATAATTTGACCGAGGATCGGTTTCGTTCGAAGGTTCCAGACACTGAATATGAATAAGTAGAAAAAATCGAAGAACAAAGAGAAAAAAAAACGGTGATAGGGAAGAGAAGACGTTTTCCTCGTTCGAGTTCTCGTGATGCAGCCCCTGTCGATTCCGAGATCGTAGAGTGAGATCAACGTCGCCTCCTTGATTGGTAACGGAGCACGACGACAGGTTACCTCCAAGCGGTTGGACTCATTGAGAGAATCGCGGAGGATAGTGGACTTACCCGCCAGAAAATGGTCTGATCCAGCCAGAATCATGCTCGTCCTTGTGTCACATTAAAGCCTTCTTACGTGCTTCTGTCGAGCGGACGCGGTTGGTCCTCCGCGAATAGTGGATTCATTATCTGGTCGGTGGCGAATCGTCCGGATACTCGTGGTCGTTCGCGATCTCACCGTGAAGCGTGGTTACGAGCCAGTCGAATAATAATACGTGGGCGGGGGTGTACACACAGCACTCTGTTGCTCGTTGAGTCGTGCGCCTGCAACACCTCAACCCGACTCCACGCATGCGTCTCCTCAGCCACGCAACCGTATTTCCTCCGTCAGAGGTTCTCATTCCCTTTCGAGGAGAAACGAGTCGAGTGCCTTCTACTAATTCTTACGTTTTATGTATTTATAGAATTGTCGCTGAACTATACTAATTTTTGCGTCCTATATGCCTTTACTATATTCCTGTAAATTGTTCACCATCTAGTTGCTACGACTCTAAGACCAAAATTACATTGATAGAGCAGTTAGCGACGATGTAGACAAAATTCGCTTTGCAAGTTTAATTTCATTGTAATATAGTGACTGATGTATCTAATAACGCCTGAACAGGATCTAGGGAGGCTTACGGAAAATCTATGGATTGTCTAGGGAAAGCCACGAAAGTGGCCTAGCGAGAGTTTAGGGAAATCTAGAAAATCTAGGGAGAAAGAATGAATATAAGTGTAGCTTTTTACCGTCATCCTCGGTATACATCTACTAAACTAGAAAACTCGTAGATAACTTGTGCGCTTCGTTGATGTATTCTAGTCTTTATATCTATTTTACCGATGTCGGAAACTTTTACTCTTATTATTACTATACTCGATCGTAAAAAATGATTTACAATACATTTAGTACTGTAATTTTTAAAATTATTATTTGACTTCGCTAAATATACAATTCGTTATTTCTAAGGAAATGAATAAAAATTAATGATTCATTTTTGTTGCACGTTAAAGAAAGCATTTTCTAAAATTGTTATAAATTCAAGCGTAAATATAGAAAAACGATGATGGTTCTTATTATCGGCAATCAATATTTTATAGACACATGTTAGATTTTTTATTTGATAATGACGCGACCGATGAAATCGTACTCTTCGTGCTTTTATTCTTTACAATTTCGTACATGAAGGGAAACTGATTCTAATTTTCTAATCTAATTCTGGTTCCAGTAAATCGAAATGAAATTAATAGGATGCTACGGATTAATATTTATTAAAATTTTCTAATGAAATTTATTTTAATTTGTATACCATGCATATCGTTCATGACGATTATAGTTAAATGAGGTGATTTTTAATATAGAGAAATAAATATGATATGCGCTATTATGTGAAAAATTGTTGCACAATGCAAAAATGTTATTTTTAATTTTGTTCTAATATATGCGAGAATCGGCCAATTTTAGTTGATTGCAACGGGTAAGCTTCGCGTGTTTTTATTGCTTAATCTAACCTCAAAAATATTTTCTTTTATTATCAAATATGTTTATTAAATTATTTCAATTATCAGTAAAATGAATCGAATGTACTATAAGTAAAATATATTCGGTATTGTGTTTATTTGTTTGATTTGAAATTTTCATCGATTATTTTAATTGTTATAATTTAGTACATTCAAAAAATACTAAAAACTAAATTTTTAACGAGATAGCAATTGTTACAATGAAATTCTTCCTTTTATAGGTACTATGTACTCTGTACAAATAATAGCAAAACATAACACAATATATATGACTGAACTTTTAAAGCGATAATAATGTTATCTATTATTATTTCTTTTCTATTACATTATCCAAAAACAGGAATAAACAATGAGCTACTTTACCATATTGCGCTTCAAACACTCTGCAACCCTAAATAAATATTTCTTAGAAAAATGTTTTATGCGGTATTTAATGTATCATGCAAGAGTATATTCTATTGGAAACCGTAACCACCATAAGAATTGTATTGTCAAGAAGGATAATATCAACAAAAGAGAACTACTTAAATCACGGATACTCAATGATATCAAGCAAACTAAAAGAAAAGTTGAAGAAATTATTGAGAAAGAAAACATTTGGACGATACCAAATTTCCTTTGTGTGGGACGAATCTTAACATCACCTTATTTAAGTTATTTAATTTTGTCGCAAGATTACCAGGTAAAATAAGGAATTAAATTTACAGTCATAGTGCATCAAATCGGTAAACATTATTTGCTTGTATTGCAGGTAGCATTGTCACTGTTAATAATTGCAGGGTTCAGTGATCTAGCAGATGGATGGATTGCACGTACATGGACATCACAAGCTTCTAAGCTTGGTAGTTTTCTAGATCCAGCTGCAGATAAATTACTTGTAGGTACACTGTTTTTTTCACTAGCATGGGTAGGATTGGTTCCTATTCCCTTGACGTGTCTTGTCATTGTAAGGGACATTGCCCTAGTGGCAGCTGCATCATATATAAGATACCAGTCTTTACCACCACCAGTATGTATATATACATATATAAGTACTAACAAATTAATACTTAAATATGTTATTGAATAAATTATATTTTAGAAAACATTGGCCAGGTATTTTGATCCTACACATGCCACGGTACAGTTAGCACCGACATATGCGAGTAAAATTAACACTGCGATTCAACTGTCTTTTGTCGCCGGAACATTAGCTGCTCCCATATTTCATTTTACAAATCATCCAATTTTGGAAATCTTATGTTACACGACAGCAGTGACAACGTTAGCAGGTGGTATAAGTTATTTAATATCAAACAAAACGTACAAAATATTAAGGAACAAAATTTCAAAAAAATCACCTCCCAAAGTATAAGTACATGTATGTGTATATTGAAACGACGAATGCTGAAGACAGAACATTGCCATTATTTGTAAATTTATTACTGTACAATATATTGTTTAAATATATATACATATATATAGATAGATACATGACTGATCATAATATGTACATTTCTTAAATACTACTTAAATAAAGTTATTCGTCAGGTTTACTTGTATCGTACATTTCATACGCACAATCTTCAAAATTAGTTTCATCGTTACGCACTGCTATATAATCGATTTCTAATCTAAAAGGACCTGGTTTTTTATCCGCTAGCGTTATTCCCAAATTTGTAACTTCTGTTTCTGGCATTCGGAATTGCTGATCTTGAACTACTCCTTTATTCGAAAACACAAATTTAGCAAAGGGTATTGTAACGGTTTGCCAATAAGGGCCACCTCTTGTATACATTACATAATTCCACATATGATTCCACGTTATATCAACGTATCCCTTATGTAATATGTTTACCATATAACATCTACCATCCCCTCTGACTCGTAAAATAAGTCGATTAAAAGAACTCCAGTCATAATAGTATTTTCTTCCAAAAGACTTGTATTTTGGAATAGTAGTTATATTACAATAACCAGATCTTGTGAGCCTACCATCTTTAGGTACAGTAGTATTTAATATGCCATGAAATATTCCAGTGCCAGAAGGTGATAATTCTAATCTAAAAATATAGTTGCATTTTTTTAATACATACTTGCAAAAGTAATTCTTATAAGACACATTAATGCGAAAAATTTAATGTAAGTACTTGGCAGTTGAAAAACCTTCGTTATAAACACTGTCATAGTTCACAATCCATTCCTTTAAAGATTTTTCAGTTCCATCAAATTTGAATATGACATTTTCTTCGAATGGTGAAACTGCAGTTACGCCGTAGCCGAATTTAGCCCGCACTTCTTGCGCAAATAAATTGCAATCATTTTTAAATATATTATATCCAATTTTCAATTTTTCACGAAAACTTTTATCTTTTGTTATTGGTGGTTCATCGTAAACTAATGGATAACCTGATCTTGGTCTTTCGTATACTTCGTACAGACAATTGTTTGTATGAAATCTTCTTTTGTTAATTATGAAAGTTCTGAAGTACGAATTTAACGGACGAAGCATATTTTGTTTCAAGGTAAAATTAAACGAAGATATTGTTAAAAATTACAACATTAAAATATGTTTAATATTTAATCTTCCTCCAATGTATCAAAATTTAAGAACAAACATGTATTTTTAAGAAAATATCAGCATTAATTACACAATAATCTAACAATAAGAATTCTAAAGTTATTCACTTATTTTTTTAATTATGTGCGATTCAATTCTACTCTGTACGATTTATTTGACTGTGAATGCTGAATTGGCGCGTATCACGTGTATGATCAAAATTCAACACAAAATCGGTATAAAATGTTATATCTATGTTAATCATTGATCATTAAAAATAATTGCATTTAATAAATTATTTATATTGATATAGAAAAAAATTTCATATGTCAAAGAAGATAAAAAGAGATTCATGAAATTTTTCATTCATAGACGGTGGCTAACGTGTGTATACGTTGAACCCACATTCAAGGCAACAATGGTGCTTTTTAAACGTACCAAATTACTCAACAATAAAAACCTCATTTTTCTACGTGCAAAGAATCAAAATAAAAATGGAAGTTTATTACATATTAAATTTATATCAAATAAATCTACGAATGATGTGACAATAAATTTATCAAATGGGTAAGAATATCACGTGTTTTTTAACCTAAATGATAATGGTACTTGTTTATTATATTTTAACAACTTAATATACGTAAATAATACGTAAATGTATTCAAGAAAGTATGTAACTATGTAAAGTACTTGCTTCCATGATTTCATTTATATTTAACATTATTTATTTGAAATATTATTTCAGAAGTCAAATGATATTATCAGCTGGAAAATATGCACGCTTTACAAGTGGATGTGTTACTGCCAAAATGGGCGAAACGTCGGTTATGACAACTGTAGTAAGGAAAAGTGTACCGGATGACACTTCCATGGTTCCATTAATTGTAAACTATCGACAAAAAGCAGCTGCCATAGGCCGCATACCAACCAACTTTCTTCGTAGAGAACTAGGCCAATCTGAACAAGAAATTCTTACAAGCAGAGTAATAGACAGATCTTTACGACCTTTGTTCAACCAAAGATATTCTTATGAAACACAACTTGTATGTAATTTATTAGCTGTAGATGGAGTTCATGATCCAGACATATTATCTATTAATGCTGCATCAGCAGCGTTAAGTATTTCAGATATTCCATGGAATGGGCCCGTAGGGGCAGTGAGAGTTGGAATGATCGATAAAAAACATGTTATTAATCCTACAAGGCGTGAACTCCAAGAAAGTTCACTAAACTTAATGTTAGCTTGTACATCTAAAAATCTTGTTGTTATGATGGAAGGATCTGCCAATGATATTTTAGAACCAGATCTTAAAAAAGCAATACGATTAGGTACCAAGGAATGTCAAACAATTATACAGTCCATAGCAAATTTACAAAGTGAAATGGGAAAGCCTAAATTTGAAATTGAAACTGATCAAGAGCTTGACCAAAATGTACTGAAATTTGTAAAGGAATTTTCAGAATCGGAGCTACATAATATTTTTACGTGTTATTCTTACGATAAGATATCACGCGACAATGCCATATCATATCTTAAAAATAAAATGTTGGAAAGTATAAGCGATCACGATTCAAAATTTATCGCAGCAGCTACAAAAGCTTTTAGTACCATTACCAGAGAAGTTTTTAGATCCGTGGTATATCAAGTAGAGAAGAGGTATCTTTTCTTCATAAACTATACATTTTTTTCTGATAGTTAATCAACAATATACACATTACATATGAATAGTTCAATAATTTTAGATGCGATGGACGGGAATTTGATGAGCTGAGACCAATAGAATGTCAAGTAGACTTGTTTAAACCACTTCATGGTTCATCTTTCTTCCAAAGAGGACAAACTCAAGTTCTCTGCACAGTAACCCTCGACAGTATTGAGAGTTCTCTTAAATTGGATAATATTTCAATGTTAACTAGGTGCGTGATCTATAACGATTTTCATTAAAAATCTTCATGCACTCTAAGTAAAAATTATTTTTTCCACTTACAGTGGCATAAAGGAAAAACATTTTTTCCTGCATTATGAATTCCCTCCATATGCAACAAATGAAACGGGTAAACTTACAGGAGCCAATCGTAGAGAGATAGGTCACGGGGCATTAGCAGAGAAAGGATTGCGGGCAGTTATACCAAAAGATTATCCATTTGCTATAAGATTGACAAGCGAAGTATTAGAATCAAATGGTGAATTCAGCAAAGATCCATACTACTATAACGAAAGATGTCTAGATTTCTCAATTATTAAACTCCTGGATTTTTAATATCTCTGATCATTACTGACAAACGTAATGTCGCTTTGTATTGTTTAAAGGTTCTTCTTCAATGGCTACTGTTTGTGGTGGTAGTTTAGCATTAATGGATGCAGGGGTTCCAATATCGTCTGCAGTTGCCGGTGTAGCTATGGGACTAATATATAATCCAAACATCGGAAACAGTGTATCCGACGACGACTTTAAGATATTAACGGATATATCGGTAATTTTTTTTATTTAAAAGTATAATTTTAATATTAATGACAAGCGTTATTTACATACAGGGTATAGAAGATTATTTTGGAGATATGGATTTTAAAATAGCAGGTACGAAAAAAGGATTTACCGCTTTACAAGTAGACGTGAAAGTACCAGGTATCCCTTTGAAGATAGTAATGAAGGCTATACAGAAATCAGCTACAGCAAAGAGTCGAATCCTTAATATAATGAATCGAGTGATAGCAGCCCCGGCGGAAAGTGATAGAAAGAATAAACCTGTGCACGATACTATAGAAGTGCCTGTGCACCAGAGAGGAAGGTTTCTTGGCATAGGAGGAACAAATTTGAAAAAGATTTATCACGAAACTGGAGTTAATGTATGTTTCAAGGGAAAAGTCATTAATCTGCTGTTGACAATTGAATCATTATATTATCACAGTTTCTTTTTGTAGATATATCCACAAAGTGATACAGAGTTTTCCTTGTTTGCACCTAATCAGACTGCGATGGACGAAGCGAAAGAAATGATCGCTCAAAGTCTGCAGAAAGATAATGAACCGACATTAATATTTGGCGACATTTATAAAGCAAAAATAACCGAAATTCGTGAAACTGGAGTTATGGTTACGTTGTATCCTACCATGGTGCCAACAATGTTACCCAACTCGCAGTTGGATCAGCGTAAAATACATCATCCCAGTGTTCTTGGTCTTAATGTTGGGGACGAAATACAAGTGAAGTATTTCGGACGAGATCCTGTTAGCGGTCATGTTAGATTATCGCGAAAAGTGTTACAGGATCCGGTTTCTTTCGTCAGAAATTTCAGTAGTACAGAAGGTCAGTAAAATTAATTCTTTCAAATATTTTTATAATCTCTTTAAAATAAAATTCTGATATTCACCTTCGAACAAAATTAAAAATAGTAAATGTTTAGAAATTCATATTTTGTTCGTATCGAGAAACAGAGATTAGACAAACAGCGTGTACATCGATCGATAGATTGATTAGCAGCAGATTCAAGTTAAACCGATTGTTTCTACGTAGTGGCAGGAAGTAATCTGAATTGAACGTGACTTAAATCTCCAATAGATTAGAAATGCTTTCACGTTTGTATCGTTGTGTCTTCAAACGTACGTCCACTTTTGTCCTTGGTATTGTCATTACCTCGGTTTTCTTTGAAAGAGCTTACGATCACGCTTGCGAAAATATCTTTGAATGGGTGAACGAAGGAGTATGTAATTCTTATCTCATTAATACTTTCCGAAGTTTCAAACTTCTAAAGTCTTAGAATTAAAAAATTACGACGTCTCAAATATCTTAAAGTTCCGAAACGCAAAATCTAATAATTTCTGGTTCAAAGATGCTTCAACAGAATCATGATCGATTAAATTTCAAGTATTTTATTGAAGCGTATATCTAAATTTTCTGACTTGATTCTATTTGTTTTCACAGAGACTTTGGAAACACATAAAACACAAATATGAAAATTCACCGAAGATGGAGGCTTACCAACTTCAAGAGAAGTCGAATGAAAATAAGATATCCGACTTGGAGAACAAACCTGATACAGATACAAAAGAGAATTGATTGTGCAGATATTTGTAGAATAAAATGATTTATAGTTCAATAAAATGCGAAAAACAGTCTTTTATATTTAATGTATAAACATTTGAAATATTTATTTAAATCTAATTAACGATAACTTTATCCACATTCCTTTGAATTTTAAAGAGTCATTTTCAAAGTTTAGACGAAAGAGATATTCAAAGTTTCAAATTTTATTATTTAATTTCTCTTTCCACTTTAGCGTAATCGTATGAATGAATATATTGAAAAGAGAAAAGAATGGTTCGTTCAAGTTCCGTTCTCCCCTCGTTGGAGAATCCTTATCGTGGATTCCAGTGATATCAAATGATCGTATAGAGTTTAATCAACTTCTGTTGATTAAAATATTACTTCATGGAATTAATAACCGGATACAAGAAGAAGATACAGCGTTGTAACTGTATCTTCGGGGCAGTCCCAAAGAGATATGTATGGACAGAAAAAAAATATTAAAAGTTTGATCATTTCTGCTTATTTCCGTTCATTTATCTTTTTCCGCGATTTCATTATCCTGCCGCATAAAGAGGTATTGATAAATGCAATCGAATGTCACAGAGAACAGTATTTAAAGCAGCAGCACAGCATCCGACTATTCTGCAGAAGTTGGTTGTGCCGCAGTTACTAAGTTTGCACCAGGTTGCTCTAGTCTTGTTCAAAAAGGTACGTACCATATATTATATATTAATAAAAAAAAATATATCGCGACAGGTTGAGTCCACTCCAAGTCCATTGTTTTTTGACATCGATGTTAAAGATTTTGTGTCATTATTACTCTGATTTCGAGTTCATTTAAAACTTACAATCTTTTAACACTTTGCAATTTTTTACCATATGCTCGAAAACATGTAGCAAGTCATTAATGAGGATTGTGTATTCTGTTTCAGATTATTTCGGATAAAAAACAATGTCTTCGAAAAATATAATTATTTTTTCTATTTTAATTCTTGTCCTTGTCGGAATATCGAATACAACGATAATCAATTTTGATCCAAATGCGGCGGCATACTTCGAAGAAGATATAATTGTAAAAAATCGTAGACTTGCCTGTGATAGTAATGAAATGGTAAATCTTAACGGGACCTTTTTGTCGGAAATTCCAAGAGGCTTTATAAAAAGTTCAACAGTAAAAGCGATAACGCTTAGTAACAACAAAATTACTAGAATACCTCACGACGCGTTTGACGACGTGCCGAATTTGGAATGTTTAGATTTATCGTACAATAAGATATCAATTTTGGATTTGTTAGATATCAGACACGATCATTTAAAGATTCTAATATTCGATCATCAAGAAGCTCTCGAATGGGATAATTTTTTGCAAAACAACATACCATTTTATACGTCAAATCCAAATTTTCCGAACGTGGAGGTATTATCGTTGAAGAGAATCGGGTACGAGCACTCGTCACTCTACGCTAATTTATTTCCAAAATTGTCTACAATATATTGGGAAGATAATCAAGTGGCCTACGTAACCCCGAACATAACGGACTATTTTAGTCCTAATTTGAAGGTCATTCATTTAGAACGAAACAACCTTAAAAGGTTTATTACAAACGACCTTCAAAATGTTGAAGAATTGTATTTGGACGAAAATCCGTTAGAATATCTTTCGATCGATGTCAGTTCAAATTTGAAAATCCTTTCTTTGATGGACTGCAATATAGAATTTGACTGGAAGTTGTATTTTCCAACTTTAATTACTTTAGATTTATCAAGGAACAAACTTCAGGAAATAAATGCAGAATACAATGCTACACCAAATTTAGAGAATTTGTCTTTAAATTATAATCGATTTACGACTTTTCCGCGGTTGGAACACTTTTCACAGCTTCGGAAGTTATCGTTAAATTATAATTCAATCAAAACCATTAATTTTGTGACGACAAGTTTATTGAAAACTTTACATCTAAGAGGAAATGAAATAACGCATGTCGATTATTCTGCATTTGTTAATGTTCCGAATTTAGAAGAATTAGATTTAGCAGAGAATAAATTGAATTCTCTGCCCTATAATTGGGGTTCACCTTTAAAAATGTTACGTTATATTAATTTAAGTTCAAACAGGTTTAAATCTATAGCTCATATAGATAGTTCCTCGTGCATTAATCTTAACCATATATTCGTAAAAAATAATTATTTTAGAACTATATCGAAAGACGAAATAAAATATATTCCTGACAATTGTACGGTATACGTGGCTTAACGAGAGAAAAATTGTTTATACAAATGGTCTCTGTATTTTATTTTATTACGATTCTATCATATATGTAACGTAGAAAAATAAAGTTATATTGTATATAAAACCTTTCACATAAATTTTTGTTCAAATACTACTGTAATATCATTATTAAAAAAATGTTCAAATTTCGACTGCTTTCGTCGTTTCAACAGAATTCACAAGAACCTTATACTGTCGTTCGTTCCACGATCTTATGATGGGAGTTATTGTAACTTTGTTGCTAAACATTCCATAACGATACAGTAGAGCGCGATATTCGTTGCAACTATATCTCTTGTAACTCGAGGACGACGAAAAGCAAATTTTGCAGAACGATGCACGCTCGATCTACTAATCAGCAAACGTTCGCACCAACTGCCAACCCAGCATGCTTCCCTTGTTTCTTCTTTATTAACATGGAATGCAGAAGTAAAATTTAGAAGCTGAAAACAGGTAAGAAAACCTCAAAAGTCTAACAACGCGATTATAAAACGATATTTGAAAACCTGAATTCTTTTTATTCCACTAAGCTACATATTTCTTCTTGATTCAATTTCAAATTAATATTCAGCTTTATACAGTGTCTTTCTGTTATTTCATTTCTATACATTTAATAAAACGATTTGTAACTACGCGCATAAGCAAGAAATATGCAATGATTTTGTGAAAATTCACGAGCTTGAACACTTAAGCGATAGATTTAAATATTTATTTGAAAATGTAAGAGAGAAGTTAAAGAAATGAAACGATGACGCTTCGAAGGGAGAAAGAGCGCGGTGCAGTCCTAAAGGTGTTTAGTTTCTTGAGCGTTATCGCTACTTTATAAGCAGACACAAATTCGAATCCCGAGGACAGAATACGTTACATCGTTCGAGCGTGCTGAACTACAGACGATCTTTAAAAATTTTCAAGCAGTGCAAATTCTTGTTTTTTTTCTGTGAATACTTGCCACTGTATAACATAAAAGTTTGAGTACACGGTACCGAAGTTGTAACACCATTTCGAAATCGATTTTCAGAGTGTTTCGAGAATTCAGGATCATCCGTTAGCTTCGCTATCAAGAAATAATCGGAAGACCTCAGCTCGAATCCTGAGGATAACGAATTTTTAGAATCTATTGGCGAAAGGTAAGCTTGTCAAAATTTTTCCATTTCTTCTTGACCGATTGCTAGAACTTTTTGATACTTAATCGCGTGTAAGAATATTTTAGCAATCCTGAGCGAGAATTTTTCCTACCAGTTCTTTCCTAGCTCGCTTTCAGTCCATGCCTGGCACGTTTCTGGTCCATCTCTAATTTTTTCCTAGAACGTCCGATGTCACCGGTCCTCTCAAGTCCACATTCTATCCACCTTCGTACACTTAATCGTCCATTTATTGTCTACTTTTCATCTATTCGTATTTCGTACCGATGATTCTCGACTTTCACGTTTGTAGATGCCATCGTCCAAGGGTTTGCTGATATTTCTTCTGGCCTCGCAGTTGCTATCCATCCACGGCCAAGGATATTATAACAAATACCCCGACCGATTCCACCCTCCATATACGCCCAGGTATTCGCATTAGTAATTGTGTAGTAATAATGACGTTATTATAAGTGGGACTATGGTATCATAAATAGCACCTTCCACCGTCCGTGTTAATACCTCATTTCTCGAAGTATAATAGATTACTTTTCATATATAGGCACACAACAGAATATTCGGCACGTAAGCCCCATCTTGGGAATCATCACGGGAATGGCGACGACGTCATACTAAGTAAAACCTCTCCACCACCGGTCGACACGAAATCTTCGGTTGAAATGGTTAATCCTGTCCCTACATACAGACCTTCGCATTCGCCCTACGATAATAATCATACTCAAAATAGGACAAACACAGAACCTCGGAATTACGGACCTACTCATTCGAAGTACAGGGAATGCAAGCCAACGGCCCCCAACACTATCCTGAATTTCGCTAGCGTTGGCCTGAAGAGAATCGGTGACGCGTTCATCAAGAGTTCGGAAACGAAGGAGCTCTACTTGGACAATAACGACATCACCCAGATCTCTGGCGCAGCGTTCGTCTTGCTGAATCAATTGGAAGTCCTCAGTTTGTCGGGCAACAAGATTCCCATTGAAAAACTGTTATGGTTCAGTAAAACCTACACTCTGCGAAAGTTAGTTGTGGACGACAACAGATGCAGTCCTTCCAACGTGACGAAGGTGTTAGAAGCGTTGCCCAGGCTGGAGGAATTGTCCCTGCAGAGGGACAACATTTCGCGTTTCGTCGTCAATTTGAAGGAATTCGCCCCCAGACTGACGCACTTGCGACTCTGTGGTAACAACATCGACGAGCTGGAATTTCTAGATGATCTGCCGGATAGCCTGTCTCATCTGTACTTGGATGACAACATGATCACCAAAGTAAGGAGCATCGCTTTGAACAACGTCCAGGAGCTATCCGTAAGCGGGAACCATATCGAGAAGCTGTGCCGCGATATGTGTTCCGATTCTTTCTTGTCTCTGAAAGGCATGGAGAATCTGCAGAAGCTGAACGCTTCGCGTAACAGCATCGCCGAGGTAACTGACAACGCGTTCATTGACGCGAAGAACTTGATAACCCTGGATCTGTCTCGTAACAAGATCAAAACGCTTCCCGTGGATGTTCCCAACATGTTGTCCGTGCTTAAAGAGCTTTTCCTGAGTCACAACGAGCTTGGATCGATGCCGAATATCTGTTCCTCGATGCGTTTGAGGTACCTGGATCTGAGCTACAATAACATAGGGTCTATCACCAATAGCAACCTGTGCGACTCCACGAGTAATTTGCACACCCTACTTTTGAGTGGAAATTATATCACCGACGTGGACAACGACGCTTTTATGCGATTGCCGGCGTTGAAGAAATTGGATCTGTCGAACAATCTGATTCTTAACCTCCCAGTGAGGTTGATCTATGGGGCCAGATCCCTGCAAACCCTTCTGTTGAGGAACAACAGTATCGCGAACATCGACCAGCTGTTCTCTGTTAAATCCAAGGTGTTGCAAGAGTTGCATCTTCAGGAGAATCCGTTTTGCACCGTTAAATACGAGGAAATGCCTCAATTGGTGATTCATTTGAAGGACCAACCGCGACAGGCGAAGGATAACGAAGAAAAAGAGGAGGAGAAGGAGGAGGATGATACAACGGAAAATCACGACGACGACTACGAAGACGAGAACTCGGTGAACAGTCGATGGGACTAGGTTATACGCGTTGAACGAACCCTTTTCAAGGCGAGTATGTTGTAAAATTGATAACACGTCAGTTAAAGTAAATCAAAAAATTAGTAAAGTAAGAATATTTGGAAGCGTATTTAAAATTGATTCTTTTTTATTTAATTTCAGGTGGTGGCGGAGATAAACGTATTGGGGAAATTGTGGCAGCGTTATCGTCAGACAATATAATCTTTAGTACTAACAATTAGAGTAGAATAAAATATTAACAAACATTATTATAATATACTGCAATACTAATATTATACAATTTTTGCAATCCTATGTACACGTATTGTAATGCTAACATACCGCTTGATTTGTATATTTTGCATAAAGGCATATCGCAGTATCAAACGTTCAACGATTCTTCGGTTTTTAAATTATTTGATTCTATATTAAATACGCCTGTTTCGTCTCGTTGAAACTTATCGAGCCAGAGAAGTTGTCCTTAACAGTCTACCGTCCATGATTTTAGATGGCGATACGATCGCGAAGCACAGTTATCGGTAAAAACGATCAAAATTTAAATGACCAATAGCTTCTCAAAATCCTTTCGTCCAAAATAATTCGAGAATTCAGCAAGAATAATAAAATGGCACGAAGACACAAGTGCTAGACGCATAACTTCTCGTTGTTTTTATCGCAACCGTAGTTTTTCAACGCTGTTTTTGATCGTGGATATCCTTCGTTAACGGCTGCGAGGCTTATAGGGACACATTAGGTTGGTGGACAGAAAAAAGGGTCAGCAAGAGCGAAAGGAATGTCTTCCATTTAGGAGCCATCCGTTTGATGGGACATAAACGGCACTCGTTCCTCCCCTTTTCATTCCTGAAACGTAGTTTGTAGCGAAAACGAAAAAATACGAGATGCTTGCTGAAGTTTGCTTTTCAAAGAGATCCTCTTCGTTCTCCCTCGAGTCCTTTCTCGGTAAAGCAAAAATTGTGTCGAATTCACCCTTCTTCCACGGTTCTTGAAGAATCCACCGAGATCTAGGACATCTAGCACTCGTGACTGCGGATGTTTATGCATGTATGATGTATCGAAATTTCTAAACATAAATCATGTAATCTATCGTCTATCGACTACGGATTTCAAGAATTACACCAAAACCATTTAAAATAGATGAATCGTCAAAAAATTCACGTTTGATCGAACGTCGCAGGATGTGCTCGATAGCAAATTCCTTCGAAAATTCTCAGTCTCGTCGAGCTCGTAGATTTTGGAATTTGGAAATTTGAAGGGAAGCCAGACGTCGACGGTGCACGAGTTCGACGACGATCCGGAGTCTAACGCGCGATAAATGTAAAAAAAATGATCGATAGGCGATCAATGGCGGGTGATCGGCTACGGCGATAGAGATAGATCGGGGTAGCTTTGAACGAAGGCGACGCTTTGAATGGAACGTCGGTTTCAGGTTTAACCCTCGGTTACACCGGTTCAGAGATCAACGATCTCGCGAAAAGTGGCAAAGGTAGACGGGGGCGAAACAAAAGACGAAAAAGCGTCCGAAGAAGGAAGCGTTCCATCCAGTTGGATCTGGTGTACGTTGACCAAGCTAGCCAGAGTGGGTGGGAGGCATCCCTGCTGATCAAGGGTGTCAGTTGGGGTGTAGGAAAGAGGGTGGACGAATAGACGGGGACGCATGCGCCCGCTTTGGCCGGTGTGCGCTGGCAGGGATGCACGTAGAGCGAGACGGAGAAGCGGAGAAACCGAGAGGCTGCCGCGAAACCGGGAGGAAAAAGCGAGAGGGTGAAGGGAGGCTGATAAAGACGAATCCACCGCGTCGCGGTCGAGTCGAAAGAGGAAAGCGTCGAGAGTGCGAGAAAGAGAGGAGGAAGGGGAGGGAGAGAGAGATAGCAAAGATCGGACAAAGAGAGAGACACGCGAGCTCTCCCGCGTCTAGGCAGCTCGAGACTGTAGCCCCACTACGGTGCTCCTCTTCCTCGCTCGTTTTCTCTCTCTCCTCTTTCAGTGTTCGTTCGAACACGGCCCGGTACGGTTCTGTTGCCCCGTGCTCGAAGGATCTCCTCGTGATGGGAGCTCGTTGCCGCGGTGGTGTCGGCAGCATCC